CTCGTTTCTCTTTCGATTCGGGATTCAGAAATTATTCTGTTTTGAAGTCAGGATTTTTGTCAGGCCAGTTATTTTCCCCCCTTCCCCCAGCAACTGTTTATTGAGGTAAATAAGTTTGTGTTTGACACTACTTCAAAATTTCATACATTGGCTATTAAAAGGTAAAAACGATCAAGCAGGTTTATTTCAGCATTGAATCTTTGTTAGCTTTTGCCAGCGCTCTTGCAATTCGTTCCATTTCCTCACACTTCTTTTTCTCCTCTGCTGCTATTCTCCTTTCCTCCTCAGCAATAGGCCTTGAATGGTCATATCTTTTCTTTCCATGGACTATCCCCATGAGCACTGAATGCCTGCCGAACTTGTTCAGAGGGGAAACATCCACCAGCAGAATCATCTTGCCTCCTCGTCCAACCGCTAAGAAGGCAGTGACCACAAGGCCAGTTATGATAATAAAAAACAGAGCTGGCTGGAGACCAAACTGAGCTGTCCAATACAGCTTTCAGATTTCCTACTTTGGCTTTAATGGATTTGGCTGAAAAAACTTTCAAGTAGCCTTGCTTAATTGAGACATTTGATGAAACCCACACAACTAAGAGTTCCACTAAACCAAAAGAGATATGATGCATTATTGAACATGAAATGGAATTTAGTGAACTGCATTTATTTTTACCTGGAACGGGCCTAATGTTGCTTGGATGTAAGCCCTAGAGATGCATCCAGTCATTTCCATGTTTGTGTGGCTCAAAGCTACGTGGCAAGAAATTTTTCCCAATGCAGGAATCAGTAATTATAGTACATTGTGGGACATCTACTCTCACCATCCCTGGCCATTGGCCACGATGGCTGGGGCCAATTGAAGTTCTCCAATGACATTCAAAGGAATTTTCCATATTGAGAGTAGTTTTGAATGTTACTGAAGAACCACCACTGGCAGAACACACATTTGTGATGTGCGATGGAAACACAAGTCTAGAACTTCAGATGGGGGTGGGGAATGGCAGAATGGGGAGTTGCTGAACTTAAGAGGAATTAAACATATCTTCTATCTGTCACTTCTCCCCTGCAGATCACCCTCTCCAAATGCTGCTTTTCAGTAGATAAATGATAGGTAATGGAAGCTGGCTAGTAAGAAACTTACTCTAAAATCACATTTTCTTTCATAGTTCATCCCCCAGTTGCCAAAGAATGAATGTTCCTTCCTTTGTAATGCTGCAGCTTTCATAAATTTCATAAATTTGTACACACATAGGTCTGATTCATACATCAAAGTAATGGGCTGATAAGATGTGGTTTATAGACCCAGCAATGAACCATGCACCCTTTCCCCTGACTTTGGCACCGAGATCACAGATATTTGAATTGGGAAACTATGGTTTAATCTCTGCCTACTTGCCAGCCTGCCATTAGGTAGAGTGATACAGCTACCTCAGGCAGGTTTTTTATATTATGAAAAGGTAGCAAATTGTTAGCTATTTAATTGATTACTGCATCTTTACTGCCAGGGAAGAGGAGCTCTTGTGGGATTTCCTACTTCCCTTTTTGCGTCCTTGTTAGTAGGTTGGATTGAACCATAGTTTCCTACTTCAAAAGTAATAGGGAACTGTGGTGCAGCGTGATCTTAGCATTGGAGCTGAGTGGGGGATGGAGTGAATGTGGGGGAACAAATAGGAACAGGGCTCCTTTACCATAAAAAACATGGGTTTATTAGTCTGAGATTGTTATGTTTAAACATACTCTGCTGCAGTCTACAAGAGCCTAGTAGAAATTCAGAATACCTGCCTTTCTCCTCTTGCATGCATGGCTGAATGATGGCATTTTTTATCTGCCCTTGGAGAACACAATCACAAACCTAAATATTGATGAAACCTAAGATTTGTTTCCAATTCCTGTCTCGTAACTGGTCTATTGAATTTCCACTTCACAAGTGGAATTGCTAGACAGAACATTATTTATGTTCTATTTTACTGTTAGCCATGAATAGTCATAGCTTGAAAAGATCACATTATCAAAAGATAAAGAGGATCTTGAAATACACCAGAACCCAGCTTTTGCATGCTTTCAGACAATTACAGTATTTGACCAGCACAAATGGAAGAGGACAAACTTTTCTAGAGCTGTAGAGAGATGTAATTTCACAAATACATTGTAGTTTTTGTGCCATTTAAACAATGGTGTAGTCCATACTTGTAGAATAATAGGTTTTTATGCTCCTGAACAGCACAGTATTTTCTAATTTGAAAGGGATTGCCACAGTCTTTACATAATTGTAGGACGGAGTTTGCTGTTATTTAAGCCAGCTGGAAAAAGCAGAATATGTGATAAACACTCCCAGGTTTGATAACAAGCTTCATTTAAATTTGAGGGCAGAAGATCGAGGTAGAAAGAGAAAGCTCTAGGAATTCACAGCTGTTGTGTAAAATCCTAAAAGGTCATTTGCCAATCACAGCTCTAACTTCACTCACTGGTTAAAACCCTGTGAGGTAAAGGCTGGGACTACCAGCCAGTCTAGCTCTGAAAACAGAAATTACAGCTTGGGGGGACCTTACCTTTTGACATTTCTCTCTTGAACCAGAGCACCCATAAACTTCCTTTAAAAAAAACAAAAAAAAGCTAAAGGTCCTGGGCCCCTGGTGGTCTTTGCCTCCCAAATCAGACCCCTTCTGACCACCTGATCGGAGCCCAATCTGCATCACTAGCCTTAGGCCCAGCTACAGAGGAATATGCAGGCCAGGATTATGGAGGAGGCAAATCTGGACTGAGTTTCCTTTACGTTTCCCAAGGCAGGGTCCTGGCTCACTGGCTGGCAGCGCTGGGGGTTATAATCAATTAAGTTTGAGTACACCCACTGAAATTAATTAACATGAGTAAGTTAGGTCCATTCTGAGGAAAACATAGTTGACTACCACCCATTTATTCCAGGATTTCCTGGTTTCTGTTTGTGGTTTACCACCTTTATTAATTGAGAATAAAGCATGAGCAACCCTACAAATTATATGTATGTTTCTATAAAGGCACCTTGCAGTTTTAGCTACTCATCTGTTCGTAGCAGAAGCTTAAGCCAACCTCTTTCACAACCCAGGAGCTAGTAATTCAAGCCTACCTCAAGGCTTTCTTCCTTTCTGACAAGTATATTAAAATTTTGTGGGTGTTTTGGGTGTTCCTCTACGATTCCAGAAGTGCATGCATATTTACAGGAAGATGTTAGAATTCCTGCTCCATGATTGCAGTCATGTCTATCACATGACGGTATATGTTTTGACTCCACAGATTGGGATGTGATGGAGACAGGATGTTTGTGTTACTGTGTTCCGAGAAGTGGGACTATTGTCCTTTGTTCTTTTTCTCTTTGCTGTCGGATGCTGGAGAGAAAGGGAGCCATGTTGCAGTGCTCAGTGTGTGTTTATATGTAAATAAAGTAGATTAGCCAAAATGCTGAGTTCCTGAGGTCTGTTACGCAGCTGTGCAAACTCTGCGGATCCCTAAGTGTGCAGGTGTTGGTTGGCATCGGTCGCTGTGATGTTTGGGCAGAAGAAAGCTTATGAAGCTCCCGAACAATCGACCAAGAGGGAAAGAACATGCCAGTCAGGCATGTGTCTCTACCAGGGTCCTACTCAAGTGTAGGCTGAACTCCTGACAGAGGTATGAAATGAGTCATGGGGCATCAAAGGACAAAGGTGATTTAAAATAAGAGTACGGCATGCTTGTTGGTTAGATCCATCCAAACGTGACCCTCAAGTAACTTCAGCACAAATATTGAAAATCTCTGCAACTAATGTAAGTGCTATAGGATGTGTTTAAAGGGTTCAAACTGAACTCCTTTGGAAAGAATTTATACAGGGAACTGGCTGAATCAGCGGCGTAGCGTGGGTTGTCAGCACCCGGGGCAAGGCAAGTAATTTGCGCCCCCTAACCCGGGGCAAGGCAAGTAATTTGCACCCCCTAACCCCTAACCTGCCACCGCTGCCAGCTTCTTCTTGTTGCTGCCTGGTCTGGTCTGGTGTGGTTCTCTCCCGCGCTCAGCGCTGCGCTGGGCGGCCGCTGCACTGTCCCTCCCCCAGATAGTCCCTCGCTCTCTCTCCGCACCGCACCTCTGGCACCCACCCCCTCCACAGTGGGCGGCGACCCAGCGGCTCGGATCGGATTCGCACAGCCAGCACTGCAGTGAGAGAGAGTGAGTGAGCCAGGTAGGGGCAGAGAGCTGCGAGTGCAAGCACCCCCCCCAGATGTTGCGTCCGGTGCGTCCGGGCCCCCCTGCAACCCCCACGCTACGCCACTGGGCTGAATGCAAAAAATGGATCGAGATCGGGGTCTTAAGCATCTGCTGCAGGGGTGGGGGGCTTCTTCCAGCCTGAGGGTCACATTGCTTTCTTGGCAAACTTTTAGAAGAAGAAGAGTTTGGATTTGATATCCCGCCTTTCACTCCCTTTAAGGAGTCTCAAAGCGGCTAACATTCTCCTTTTCCTTCCTCCCCCACAACAAACACTCTATGAGGTGAGTGGGGCTGAGAGACTTCAAAGAAGTGTGACTGGCCCAAGGTCACCCAGCAGCTGCATGTGGAGGAGCGGAGACACGAACCCGGTTCCCCAGATTACGAGACTACCGCTCTTAACCACTACACCACACTGGCTCTCTTTTAGGTGCCACATGCCAGTTGTGGTCAGGGCCAGAGGCAAAAGTGGGTGGAGTAACTCATTTTTACCCTTGTACATTAGGCTAGTTTCTGCATATACCTATATTCCCCTCTGTTCTTCATACAGGGAAGAAAGAGGCGTTCCAGCCAGGCAAAAGCTCTCAAGGAGGATGCAAAGGAGGTCAAGTAATGGGGTGGGTGAGGAGGGTGTGTGGCAGGAAGAGAGGCTTGGTGGGCCGCATTTGGGCCTCAGTTCCCCATTCCTGGTCTATTGCCATCTGTGTGACTAAAACAATCAGACTGATGGAATTGGAAAAGAGAAAAACAACAACAATGAAAACTGAATGATTAAATGAGTTGGCATGAAGTACAGAAACAATCACTTTACAAAATCTTTATTACAAATTTTACATCTTTGGGTCCTTCAGAATTATTTCAATCGATTTCAAAGATCATTGTTGACAAATCACATAGACGAGGTTCTGTGTTTTCATTTCACATTGGGGGAAAAGCAAACATTTCTTGAGAAAAGTAGTCTATACATGTATATAAAACTGGCAAACACAACCCTGGGAGCAAAGTAATTATTCCAAATGCCTTTTTGTGTGTTTGTGTGTGTGTGGAGCCACAATTAAATAGAGAATGTTATTTTCAGTACAAGCCTGAATTTGGAGCTAGGGATTCAGAAATTGACTTGGGGGGGGGGGTCAGTCAAATTTACAGTGTTATTATCAAGTCACATCATTTCCTTCACATGGTCAGCAAAATAAGGGAGAGTCACATTATGCAGATACTCAAAACTGGCTTCTCTAAACAGTGCTTCTAATAAGGTGGCTTCTATCCTGCTGCTGAATCATCTGAGATTAATGGAAAGCCACTCAATATCTCTGTCCAGGTAGAGTCTTCTACTGTTGTTGCTACTAAATTGTGACTATCCTTGGTCTGCCAGGCATTGTTCAGAAAGCTGAAGCAATATGTGTGTGTACATGCACTGAACCAAACCTCAACTGCTCCTCTCTGATATTCAGATACCATACATCATGAATTGACTTGGTGTACATTCTTATGTATGATATATGCTTTGAGAAGCAGCAAACAGCTTTCAAATAAGTACCAGGGGCTTCAAACTGAGCCAATACAGAGGCTGAGGAGAAGGGCAATTTGATGATAGCAAAAAGCAGGGCTTTTTTCAGCCAGAACTCACTGGAACTCAGTTCTGGCGCCTCTCAGGTGGGTGCCATTGCTATTCTAAGAGAACAAGGGAGGAATTCGTGGTGAGTTCCAGCACCTCTTTTTCTGGAAAAATAGCACTGGCTATAAGGGATAATGGCGATTTTAAGAGAGGCATTGAAAATGAGACAACCCCCCCCTTTAAAAAAAGCTCATTTTCACAGCAATTACAAGGTTACTACTAGATATGGAAAAGAGGTCTAGTAGTGGGTGCAAAAAAGGGGGGAAGGGCATGGTGATGCTGAGAAGGAACAAGTAGTGGTGAAATATTTTCAGTCTGAGGGCCACATTTCCTCACAGAGAAACTTCTGTGGGGTGCATGCCAGAGGTGGAGGGGGCCAATACCAAATACACACCCCACTCACACAAATATACACACACTGTTCTCTCACATCCACACCCTGCCCTCCCATTCACACAGTCTCTGAAACCTTCCCTGCTCTCTTGCACCGTTTTTTCCTTCTCAAGTTATCATACTCCCCCTTCTCTTTCTCCAGTCCTGTGAACTGTTGTTCAAGTGCAAATGGGACCCATTTTTCCCCCTAAACCCTCCCACCTGCCCCCACAAACTGCCCCCCCCTTAGGTGGCAATTAGGCTTAGGAACAAAGTTCCCATTCATGTCAAATCCTAGAGGAAACGGGATTGTATTGAAAAAGTAAAGGTCACCATTCACTGGTCTTGGGAGATGTGAGGCAGAATTCCAGCGGAGAAACTGGAACAAGGCTTGTCACCTTTGTGCCCAGACATCTACAGGTTAGATGAGGTTTGGAGAGGGAGATCAGATCAGAAAAGCAGATTGGGGAGTTATCAGCACAACGGAGGCAGCCAAAGACTTTTGACTGAATGAGAGTAGCCAGAAAGTGACAGTGGAAAGAGAAGAGTCAGAGACAAGGTCCAACCCTACTGAGAACTCTCCAGGGACTGGAAGAGATGAAGAGCACTGAAAGAAATAGCAAGACAGGAGGAAGAATAGTATGGAACGTCGTAAAAGATGGGAGAAGAGGCAACGAAGTAAAGTTATCTAAGCAACAGACCCTTGATGATGAAACTGATTGTATCTTGAATAATGCAATGACCAAATCTAAAATTTAACCTGATTAAGGAAAATAGAAACAGCTCTAATCAACAGCAGGACTTTACCCAGTTGGTTTTAAATGGCCTGACTTTTTGCCGTATTAGAGGTGGCGGCAGGAGGTATTATCTTTTATCAATCACATCTGAATCCAACAGCATCCTGGCTGTTACACTTGCAGTGTACTGCAGGCTCAAGATTAAATGGCATCTTCATGTGGATTCACATATTTGCATAAAATAACAAGGCTGCCATGGCTTTTAAGATCTTACCTCCCCAATGCACATGGCAGCATATCTGTCAAGGGTTAATTTCCAGTCACAGGCATGGGGTATTATGCCACCCAAAAGCAACTAGAGCTGGAATGGCAGACTTCCAAACAGCAACTTAGCTAGTCCTTAGTCCTCTGGCATGGCTATAACTCTGTCATTGCAATTGCCAGGTTTTCTGAAACAGGCAGCTATAAATTTTGGGTACTCTTTTGCTGTGGAAAGACAAGCCTGGGGAGAAATTATATTAAATAATATTTTAAAAATGAAACTAGTAGATTATTTCAAGAGCATCTTTGCTGTGGAAAGACATAGGAAAACAATTCCCTTGGTAACTTTTTCTTGGCTCTGTCTTCAGGGACGTCAGGAGTGGATAGATACACTTAGGAGCAGTGTGTTTAAACCCTGGTCACAATTCTTTCCCCTGCGTACCACACTGAGTTCATCTGACCAACATATGAAGTGCTATTAATATATCATATCATAAGCACTCAACAGAGTTTGGCACTTTATAGCATCTCCAGCATCCAGCCAACATGACTGTTCAGTGTCTTGCAGGTGTCCGTTCACAGTACAACAGAGATACTCTCTTAATTTCCATGGGCAGGGATGTCTTGGATACCCAGAATATCCCTTCTGTAACCACAACACTCCAAAATTTGCAGAGGGAATAAAATACACAACCCACTAAAAGTAGCTCAAATGTATTCCTAACCACACAACTTTTACATGTTTTGACACGGATTTGTAGAATGTGTGGTTTTTAGTCCAGGCGTGGGATAGCTAAGAAAGAGGAATCCTCAGGTCTACTTAGCTACACGCAGGCTCAGAACAGACTCTACGCTGGAAAAGCAACTTCAAATTTTCACGCCCAGAAAAGTGGAATTCTGCAACCAAGGTAAATGCAGCAAATGAAACCAATTTGTGCATTTGCTTCTTTCACACTTTCTCTACTTCTGTGTGTCTTACGAAGGGCTCTTAGCTATGACAGAGGTGAGGTGTCAGAGAGACCCAAGGGTCAAGACCTGGTGTCCTGTGCTGCTCAGACCACTGCCAAAAACCTGGCTAAGCTTTGCACTGCAAGGGTACCACCTAGGCTGCGATACTGGCTTCACAGGCCAATCCCTTCTCACCCAGGCCTATAAAGCCTTGGCCTCAAAACTCGCTCATTAGTCTGAACCTTCTGTCACTGTGACGGTTCAGCAGTTGACTTCTGGTGCCTTGCCCTTCCCCACAGATTTCTCTGGAGCATTTTGAAATGCTACATCAGATAATGTATTTAGAGATTTTTTTGGGGGGGGAAGGGGGAGAACTATGGCAGCAATCTTATGCCAACTTACCTGGGAGCAAGCATCATTGAGGTTTTGCCTTGGCATCCAACAACCAAGAGCAGATACTGCTAAGAGCTTGATAGTCACAGATGCCCTGACTCCTAATCACTGGACATATTCCATATTCATTTTGCATCGATTGTGTGCACACAATCTATCCTCCCACCGTGAGAGATAGAAACTCGTCAAATGGGGGTGGGGGTGGCGGCGGCGAGAGAAACAGATTATCAGAAATGCAGAATTCTCAGCCCAAAACTAACTTTAATTCACAGCCCTGATTTTATGTGTTCCTGAGTTAAGGACTGGAGTGTTCTGAGACAGAGCAATGAAACATGAAGATGTTCCTAAACACTGGATGCCTCAGCTAGAGCTTTCTTCTGCCTGCTTTTTAGTAGAAACAACCCACCCTGCAGTCACAAATTAAGGCGTACTGAACGGAAGAATTGTTAATTGTGAACAGCTTGCCCAACTTTAGAATTTCTTTTTTAAAAAATTAAAAATTAAAAAGTGCCTTGTGATTCAAGAAGGGTTTTTCCAAGCCCAGAAGAGCGGATTCACAGGTCTAACACTGCACATTCCTCAAGCCAGTTAGAGTGACTTTCCCGTGAGTGTAAATGTCTTCATCTGTGCCTCGATTAAGGTGCTTCACCATATTTTTCTCAAAGAGCAGCGGGTGGTAGGCACCCATAGTGCAGGCTTGGTCAAAGAACTTCTGGTAATAATGACAAACGTCTGTCTGCCTTTTGGAAGGGAGAAACTCGTAAACATCCACTTCGTCGCAGAAGTTCATCATGAGAGCAATGCCTAGAAAGGGAGGGGAGAGAGACAAAGGATCCATTAAAAGACACAGCAGAATGGGTGACCTGAAGGCAGGGTTTAAAAATCATGAGGGGTGTGTGTGTGTGTGTGTGTGTGTGTGTGTGTGAGAGAGAGAGAGAGAGAGAGAGAGAGAGAGAGAGAGAAATCCTCAGCAACGCAGAGGGAAGAAAGGAGGTCTTCCTGATGTTTTCTTTTGACTAGAAACCTAGACAAAAGGAGTTAAAGGCTCTACAGCAGGGATGGGGAAGCTGTGGCAATCCCAATGTTGTTCGATTCCAACCACCATCCTGCCCAAGTAGCATGGCCAGTGGTGAGGAATAATGGGATCTGGGAACCCAGAAGGCTACAGATCCCCCTGGCCTGATAGATATTGTTGAAGATGGCGTCTTCTCCACCCCTGATTGTTGCAATTGAACACTGTTCAATTACTGCTAAGATTGCACCGGTATATGGATAGAAGTCATTTCTCTGCTGTATGTCGGAAACTGTATGAGAGCAAATAAAGCGTAAGTGGAATTGCTTGTACCATTTTTTATTCCCAAACTGGAGCTGTGCTGCCATCTAGTGGACTTTCCCCTTAGATGTACAAAACTCCCCACAGGTACGTGTAGTGATAGACATTCTCTTAATGAGCCACAATCACCAGGTTTTCTCACTCAGAGGCCTGTACATAAAAACAATATACCACAATACGAATGAAGCTGGTTGTATCACGTGCTGAACTTGTGCAGGGGGGATTCCCTCCCTGCTCCTCTCCTCAGACAGCTGTTGTCCTTTGACCCTCATAAAAATTATGTAATGTGAGCAGGTTGTTTGAGTGTGAGGCGGAAATCTGGAGGAGGCTGCTTGTCTGAGTGGAGGGGGGTGCGCCATTCACACAATCTGCCTCTGCCCTATCTCCCTCCTCTATTCCTCCCTCCCTCCACATCACAAGACTTTGCAGTAGCCCCAAGATGTTCAGGGCAGGGGGAGGAGGGTCTTTGGAGATGGAAATGTCAGCTGCATACTCATGACTTATCACAACATTGGTAAATCAAACACAACCATTGGCACTGCTTTTCATCTGCCTAGCTAAAGCACTTCCATTGAGGTTGACTAATGGCCAGAGGAGGAACGTTCCTTTCCTCAAACAGTGGTGGGGAACCTTCAACCTACCAGGCCCAGTGAGTGGCCATTTTGGGTGACTACACCCACATTTCCTGCACCTGAGATCAACATTGGTTGATAAGACAGCTACGGCCATTCCTGGGTTGGGACAGCTGGACCACAGTTCTCCATGCGCTGCTAACCTCACAGTTGGATTACTGCAACATGCTGTGTGTGGGGCTACCCTTGGAGTTGATCTGAAGGGGGCAGCTAGTGCAGAAGACGACGGCCAGCTTTCTTTGAGGATTTATACTGGCAATCAATTTGCTACCAGGCTATTTCGGGACCAGGTTACTAGAGAGACCACCCTATCTGTTACATACTCAGTAGATTACTGTGGTTTGCAGAAGAGATCTCCCACAAGTTCCAAATATAGCAGAAGCTCACTCTGCAATAGCTCGGAGCAGAGTTTTTAGTGTTGCTGCCCCTGTCCTGGGAAACAGCATTCCTATCAAGATATGACTTGACTATTTACACTTTTTGGGGGGAGGTTGTGGAAATAGTTGAGGATATTTTTGTTCTGGCAAGTTTTCCCAATTGGATCAACGGGACTATATCACAAGTGTCCATTTGTGAGGGTTTTTAGTCTTGCTTTAAACATATTTGTTGTGTTGTGTTTTTAACAGTTTTTTAATTATTTTATGTGTAAATCAGCTTGAGACAGTGGCTTAGAAGACAATTAATAAATTACTTTTAATAATAATAATTGGAGTGAGCCTCTAACTAAGCCCAAGCACATGCAACTGCATGTTCTTTCACTGCTTACACACAAACACACACATGCCTCTTTGCCTTTCTCGGTTTTCCTTGTGTCAAATTCCTGATTGCAAAGTTCCATTTGGGTGGGATCCTCTCCTCTTGTCATTTGCAAATTCCCATGCATACTGTTAGCACTATATAATGATGATGATACAATCTGTACCATGGGCTTCCGTGAATAGCAGTTCCTGGCAGATTTATTTTCCACAATTCCTCAAAGCCATTTGTGATTTATATTCATAACGCATTACTGGAAAAGGTGCCGTTCTGATGATTAACAGTGAAAAAACAGATTATTTTTATCCCGAGGCAGAAGAGAAGCTTCACAAAGCTGTCATGTGTGGAACATGCTGTAGGGGAATGTTCACTAACAACTTTTCCGAATTTGCTCTGCTAATGAGGGCAGCATCCAGTCATGCTTTGTGGACGTCCTCAGAGGCAAATCATACCCCTCCCCTTTTCTGCACTAGCATGGAATATGAAGAGCCCCACTGTTTTTGCCAGTCACAGGATCTGAATGCGCAGCAAGACAAGGCAATATTTGCGCCTTATCAATTCAAGCACAGCAACAGAATTCAGCTGGAAACGTGTCCTCTTTTGTGTCAGAATCTTACTATGCAATAGTGCCATCTTGTGGCGAGAGTTAAAAACACACACCGACTACCGTATTTACTCGAGTCTAATGCGCCATCGAATCTAACGCGCACCTTAATTTTTGCAATATAATTTGGCACCAAAATTGCACATTAGATTCGAGCAAACACAGTAATACTTAGGAGTGTGGGGGGTACGATATGGCATGGGGTGGTAATTGAATTATCATTTTGTTATAGTTATTTAGCTGCAAGTAAGGGTGTGTGTGTGTGTGTGTGTGTGTGTACCTGTGTAAAAAGAAAAGAAAAGAATGCTTCATCCAGAAAAAACCAGCCTCTTTCCTATGGTGGAAGCAGCTCAAGCTGTGTGCCAAACACTAACTGTTAGCTAAAGAAGAAGAAGATGATGATGATGGTGGTGGTGGTAATAATAATAATAATAATAATAATAATAATTCCATCTGTGTGCATGGTGCAAGTACAAGAGGCAGATCCTTGACCCAATAGTGTTTACACTAAGGAAGGAGAACCTGTGGCCCTCCAGATGACACAGCACATCCCCCATCCTCCCTAACCACTGGGCATGCTGGCAGGGCTTGGTAGGAATTGGAATCAAACAACATCTGGAGGAACAGATATCACCCATCCTTGGTTTGCAGTCAAAAGATGGAGACAAGTGCCAACAGGAGAATAACAGGTTTGCTCAATATAGTGTCCTCCAGATGTTGGTGGCCAGACTGGTTGGGTCTGATGAGAATTGGGAGCCAACAACATCTGGGGGCACCAGGATGACTACCCCAGCAGTATGCTAAAGGGTGATGTCAAAGGCTTCACTAAACAAGTGTGTTTTGAGGGAGGCAAGAGGGGTGGCAGCACCTTATAACAGAGGCCAGCGATAGACTGAAGTTGTAGAACGAGCATTTGTTAACAAATCTAGCCGTCTATTTTATGAGGAAAGGGATAAATGAGGGCAATGGATTGACCTCGATTTTCTCTTCCATGTCTCGGCTTCTCTCAACCAGAGACTTTATTCTACTGAATTTTTAGATCCCTTAAACCCTTTTTTACTCCCTCGGCTCAACTGCCACCAGTGTTTTGTTAGCTCAGAGGTTCTTACCTGGCTGTTTTGGCTGCTTTTCCTTGAATTTACAAATCGATATACTTCTGCAAACTGAGCTCCCCAAGTATGTAGAAACCCTTCTCTTATTGATAGGCACTCAACAGGCCAAGTTCACTGTTATATGAAAAGACAGGTAACACCCACTCACAGTCCAAAGAAGAAACCCAGGACTTGCCCTGCAAACAACGTACCAAGCATTCCTGAAGATGGAGGATTTGGCTGAATATCCTCTGGTGAGTTTTCTTGAAGGATATCCCAGAGCTGCCACTGCATGTGGGGATTCAGGATATAAAAAGGTTGTTCCGGGTGCCTTTTCCGATAGTTCTTGTAGCTTTTAAAGAAATTGTAGTCCGGTTTTTGGTACCACTGAAACCAAAAGCAAAAAAGAATTGTGGCTCTTCTATGAATACGAGCAAAACTGTCTCCAAACAGAGAAGCCTGATTCAGAGATGTTCTCAAAAAAAAATTCATGTCCCCACACCAAGCAGAAGAACCGTGCTGAATTTCAGAAGAGCAGCTGCAGTGGTTCTGTGAGGGCTGCCTTTGCAGCTCTGAGGTGCATCACTTAAATCTCAAGTGTTTCGCGTGCAATTGGCTTGAAAATTGTAGACATGAGAGAGATGCTGCTAGACAAGAAACTTGCTGAACTGCAGAGAAATAGATCCAGGGGTTGTTTGTTTCTAAATTGATTTTTTGGGGGGTTGTGGAAATAATTAAAGGGATGTTCTTTTATCCTTTGGTTTTCTTTGTAGGCAATAATTCAATAGCTGCCCTAAGCCTCGGTGGAACTGTACATGGAGCATCAAAGTGTTTTGATTTGAGGATTAGGCCGATTTCAGGTACCTGGTGCTTCTGGTGTCAGATGTGAGGAGATACTAGAGAAGGAGTCAGCAACGTTTTTCAGCCGTGGGCCCTCAGACCATGTGGTGGGCCGGACTATATTTTTGGGGGGGAAATGAACGGATTCCTATGCCCCACAAATAACCCAGAGATGCATTTTAAATAAAAGCACACATTCTACTCATGTAAAAACACGCTGATTCCCAGACTGTCCGTGGGCCGGATTGAGAAGGTGATTGGGCCACATCCGGCCCACGGGCCTTAGGTTGCCTTCCCCTGTACTAGTCTTTACAACCACAGAACCATGCATTTCCAGGATGACCACAACCTTCTCCCAGAATCCACTGCAATTCCAGGCAATTATTTTAATATGCACATAGCTCAAACGTACCTCGTGGATACCTGAGTGATATGGTGCTGGATCCCACACAATTAAGATTCCAGAATTATACTGCGGATCTGTAAGAAACTTCTGTTCTTCTACAGTAATAAGCTGGGAATGACAAAAGAGGTGGTGATGAATACATGTTGCCACTTTGAAAAGCACAGGGAGGTCAGACTGCAAGGCTTCACTGGTGGCAAATGTCACTGACTGTTGCAGGACACTGTTCCATGAGAACTGCAACTTTTAAGCTGCAGTTCCTTTTGAAACCAAGGGAAATGATCTTGATAACTAGGCCAGGATCGGTGAAAACAGTCGCTCCAAATCTAGACAGATCTAGTCACGGACATTACAGGAGGGCTAAATGACCTAGTCACACATTCTCTTGAATTATTCTCAAATCAGGCTGAAGACCATGAGGTAGAGCACATATCTCTTCTGGCCCAGTGGCAAAGAATGCTTGGAGCAATTTAAAAACAAGGTCAGCTCTGTTCACCCAACTATGAAATGCAGTGCAATAGCAGCATCAAAAATTCACACATCCCTTTCCTAGATATCATCCTCACTACTGATCCAAACAAGATTATCATGGATTTCTTTTTTCTTTTTATAACAATTCGTTAATTTTAAAAACCTGATGCTCAAGTTTATTGGAGCTGCATTTCCTGTTATCCAAAACATCTATAGTGAAAAAATGAATTCAAAAACGCCTTCTGTACAGAAAATATCCTCTCCACATCTTTGATTGCAGCAGGCACCAGGCACCTATATTCTCCAGACAGTGGCCTTCTTTGCACACAATGGTCAATGGCTTTCATATCATAGAATTGGGAACCCATGGGACATCTACTAGCGCAAGCAGCAGCGACAAGCCAAAGCCTGGCCTGTTGTAACATGCAAATGCATGATCATGGGAAACAAACCATGATCTGAAGCTACGGGTTGTTTTGCTTCAGGAGAAACTAGTGACAATCCAGGGTTCACAAACCTCATGGCTTGTCGCTTCAGCTCACCTGATGGGAGAAGCAAAGTGGGAACAATCTCTTTCGCAGAAATCCATAAAATATGGTTTACCGTGACATGCGAACGAGACCAGTCTCTCCTCCACATCATATGTTCTTGATGGCACAGCCTCCCACCATCTCCCAACTTTTTCCTGACCATGAAGGTGGGTTATACACAGGTAGCCAACTCACAGAGCCTTGCAAAAGGCACCCGAAAGTTCCTTTCACCGTCAAGCTCAAAATCCATGTAAGTAGGGAGTGTGATAGGAATTTTGAGGTCTTAGATACAGTGGTACCTCAGGTTAAGTACTTAATTCATTCCGGAGGTCCGTACTTAACCTGAAACTGTTCTTAACCTGAAGCACCACTTTAGCTAATGGGGCCTCCTGCTGCTGCCGCGCTGCCAGAGCACAATTTCTGTTCTCTTCCTGAAGCAAAGTTCTTAACCCGAGGTGATATTTCTGGGTTAGCGGAATCTGTAACCTGAAGCGTATGTAATCTGAAGCGTATGTAACCCGAGGTACCACTGTATATGTTAAATGTTCATAAGTGTACCAACCAACTACTTACATAGATCAACACAGGAAGACTGACCTGGAACCATTTTGATTCCCAAACTGTCCCAAACTGACCAAATGTTTTCTCTGCAAGGTCAAAGGAAAATGGAAAAGCCTCCCCATTGCCTTTTCCTTCAAAAATCCTGTCTTAAGGGTATGTCCGTGTTTGAATAGGGTGTGAGCTTGTGACCTGGCCCAGGAACTAAGTATTTATCATTACAAAAGACTGGCCAGGCTCCCCAGGCAATCCAATCAAGTAACCTGCCAGACAGGACATAAACAAGGACAGGAGAAAAACAACATTCAAATTTCTGTTTTAGACCGCCTTTTCTGTGATGTAGGTATGATGTATCTGGGGGGTGGTCTTAGGTTACACCCCTTCTGTGATGTATGTATGATGTTTCTGGGGGTGGTCTTGATCTACAGGGTGGCAATTTCAAAAGTCCATATAAGGCCTTGCACGCCATTGTTCTGGGTTCTTCCTCCTTTCCTGCGGGTAAGAGGAGCACCCTGTTGCAACCGATCAATAAAGATCAAGCTTACTAGCTGCTTTGCTTCTCAATATTCTCTGGTTGGCCTCTGTTATTTTCTCCTACCAATAGGGAACCTATGTAAGGACTCTATATGGGCTCCTGGATATCCCATAAGGGCAGATTTTGTTTACAACAGGAGAATGGAAATACTGTTCTTATTTTAATAATTTATATACTCCTTAATCCCCACGTGGCTTCTAAATGGTTTACAAAGCATAAAAAACCCCAATTCAACATCTTTGTTAAGATACAGTGTAATCAGAAACACACCATAATTAAAGTGCACAATAAAACAGTCCCATTAAAACATTAAAATACAAATGACCGTTATTAAAATGTGCAATGGAACAGCCCCGTTAAAACACAGGGGAATGCCTGTGTAAACTGTGTAAACTACCAATCAGCAATCTAGGGTTATTAAACAATTGGATTAGATTTTGATTTTTCTACTAGGGCCTTACTGGGAAATGAGCTTGTTACAAAGCAAGCCTACCCCACTCCTCTGCTTATTCTATGGTAGTCTGTGCCTGAGAAGGGGATTTTGGTCAACAGACCCCATTGCAGGAAGCTCATCATGCCTGTTGAAGTAAATTGAGTTGCAACACTTTCTGGTAAACCTATTGTTCCCTTTACTGTAAATCTCTGCTATCTCCCCTTATCACTTGTGGGTTTAAAACAAACAGAACAGCATCTGACTCAATCTGGAAGTGTTAAGGCAAGATATTATCACCTGCACAGGACACTCCTTCCTATGCACTCCTTCCCACAATTATTAATCAAGTACGTAGTGTCAATGGCCTGAGGCTCCTTCCAATAGAGCCCAAAAGATTACATTAATCCCCTACTCACCTGGAAACAGAATGATGTTTTTTTAGAAGCAATTTCTAAAGCCTTTAGACTTTTCCTGGCTGGCACCACTTTAAACCCTTTACCACTCTTTCATGGCCAAGAAGACAAGAGTTGTCTTTGCTTCTGTTTTAATTTTGAGCCAATTTGAGACCCACTCCCTTTATTCTCCTTGTCATGTCCCAAACTCATCCAATTGCTTTCTTCTGATCCTTCCCTAAAACCTTTCCCAACACCCCATAAAATTACTGCCCCCTTCCTCCTCTGACAACCTCCCTTTCTCTTCCTAAAGCAAGTCAGTCTGATCTCCCTGGCCCGTGTCAATGCATCCTAGAGTTTCTATACGTTCCCAGGAATGCTTTAACGATAATCAATATAAATAACTCTTGTGTTGGTCTTAAACTCTCAAACGTAGCCTATTACTAGGGTTATTTATTCTGTTTATTGATTTACAGTAAGCAAGCCAATTCCCCACCGTGATGCAGTCAATTTACTTTTGATTTATCTCTGTTGTCTGTGTTAATGGTTATTGGGTCAAATTCTGGTGTGGGCTCAGCTCTCAAAGTCAAATGATACCAAAATATGTCCAGGTTGTGTGTGAGAACGGCAAGCTTGCAATGTGCAAATGGCACATTTCATTTTTTTAAAAAAAGCCACTGTTACCTTTACGGCTATCTTTAAAAGCAAAATAAGTGGTAAGACTTTATTTGCATCACGGGTGTGTCCAATACATGTTACTTGAATGATAGCACTCTGAATGCCATGCCCTCTGTGTCGAAAGAAAAACATAATTCAGAAAGCACGAATCAGCAATCGCGACCCATAAGCTAGACTGACCCGCTTCCAAACATTTTTATTCTGATGGTTACAACTGCTCCGACTGAAACGTTTCCCACAGACAAACCTCTCTAAATCTAAAAATGCTAGAAAAAAGGAGGGGGAAAGCATCTGGAGCATGGAGTTAAAAATTCAACACAGGAGAGAAAAGAGCAAGGAAAGAAATACAGAGATATGTGTGAGTAAGAGGGGAAATGTGTGTCTGTCCCAGTCACCCTATCTTGGCTTAGTTACAGTACTAAGGCAAGGCGTGGGGAAACTTTTTGTACCCAAAGGCCACTTGCCCTACAGAGAACCTTCCGGGAGCACATGCCAGAGATGGGTGGGGCCAGAAGCAAAGGTGGGTGAGGCACAGGTGTGGCAGAAGGCTGCATTCAAGTCACACAACCAAGCCAGAGGTTTCTGTGCACATGCCAGTCACACCCCTTTCTCCGATCAGGCAAGCAAAAAGGCAAAGAAACATCTGAAGGCAGCCCTGTTTAGGGAAGTTTTTAATATTTAATGCTGTATTGTTTTTAACACTCGATTGGGAGCCACCCAGGGTGGCTGCAGAAACTCAGCCAGATGGGTGGGGTATAAATAACAAATTATTATTATTATTATTATTATTATTATTATCATCATCATCTTCACCTTCCACTGCTTCTGCGCACTGAGGTTCACGGGCAGTTCTGCACGAACCTGCAAAAGTGTTTCTCCATTAATTCCGCTGCCTCATTAGTATCCTGCCACCAGATACTTCTGGCTATTTTTAGCACAGTACGTCCACACCAGTACTGCCGCAGCTTCACAATCCTGCTTGCAGTGCCTTTCTGCCCTTCATCAGCTTGCGGCTAAACTGCTACCAGATTTACTTGTGTTCCCCTGTACGACTCCTAATGAACTACTTCATTACTTAACTGTTTGGGCTTTCGACTGCCTTGCTAACTCTGGACTTACTTGCCTCTGTAATTCATTCTGCGTTAGCTATTACACGGATGAATGGAATATCATATATATATATATATATATATATATATATATATCTCATATAACCGGCTTCTGTGTAAATGCTAATTTTCAGTTTAGCTTTCTTGTATTTCTGACAACAGGTGTGATTTACTCTCTCCCACCACATGTTGTCCCCCCATCAGACTATGGGGCAATACTGGAAGTGACACTTCCCACATGGAGGCTTTTACAGCAGAGAACACGAAGTGCCTAAGGATTAGTTTTCAGCTGCTCCATTCTCAACATCCTTCATAGTTTTAGGAAAAGGCCTCCACCTCTTCCTGCTGCTCTAATCAATCAAGTTGTCTGACGGGGCCAGCTGCAGGGATCATGGCATCCCTTTGGCGACACCACATATCCAAACTGGACTGCGGGCACAGAGGGTCGAAATGTTGCAGTGAAGAGGTCATTCGCAATTGCGGACGTGGTTCGGAGAACACGAACTCTTCCTTGCATCGGATTTAGACTTTGAAATGGAATGGTGCCCCAGAGTGAGATCACTTTTGTAAGAAGAATTTTAAGGTCTAAAATATAGAATAAATATTCACCAATGCACACATATCTAAATATATGAACCATGTGTCTGAAATAGTGTGGGAGAGCAATCCTGAACCCATTTTGACTCTTCCAATGGCCTCAAATATTCCTCTGCAGTAAGGGAGGCAAATGGGGAAAGCTTTCCCATTGTCTTTTTGCTTGCAAATCCTGTCTTAAGGGCCTATTTGTGTATGAATAGGGTGAGGATGTGACCTAGACTCAGGAACTAAAGTATTAACCATTACAAAAGAATAGCCAGACTGCCCAGGTAATGCAATCAGTGACCATGCTCCTGGCAGACAGGATTTCTGCTGTAGACTGCCTCCTTCTGTGATGTGTGTATGATCTTTTTTTGGGTGGGTGGTCTTGGGTTACAGGGTGGGCAATTTCAAATGTCTATGTAAGGGCTTGCGCACCATTGTTCAGGGTTCTCCTACCTCCTGCATGTGGGGACCCTGTTGCAACAGCTCCTTTAATAAAGATCAGGCTTACTAGCCGCTTTGCTGCTCAATATAACCTGGTTGGCCTCTGTTTTCTCCTACCAATAGGGAACCCACTTAAGGACTCTATATGTGCTCCGGAATACCCCGTAAGACGGGGTGCCCAAACTTTTTTCAAAGAGGATTTTGCCCCAGGACATATACTGCCATGGGAGCCAGATTAAATTGACCGACAGGCCGGATTAGGCCCCCAAAACAGACTTTGGACATGCCTGCTATAAGGGAAAGGGAACAGTTTTTCTTATAACACTTTCAAATGGTGATAGGTGCATAGGAATACAATATGCTATTTCATACTTGGTCAAACCACTGGTCCATCTAACCCAGCATTGTTTAAACTGACCGGCAGTGGCTGCCTAGGGTTTCAGACGAGGGGACATATCAAGCCCTATCTGGAGATGCATGGGACTGAACCTGGGACATTCTGCATTCAGAACAGATGCTTTACCACTGAGCTTTCCAAGATAAAGGTATTTTAGATGGGCAAGTGAAGCAAAATCCATGCTGTGCTATGAACGACAAGAGTGTGTGTCTGCATTCTTTCTCCTTGCCTTTTATCACTGGCCAGGGACACTGTTTAAAATCATCACAAAAGAGCAATGGTATTTATTTACCAAGAAATTATTGCTTTTCTTCCGATTGTGCCCTTAAGGGTTGTACAAGGACCTGGAAAATCTGTGATCTCTCTTAATATTTCAGTCCTATTAAACTCCTTTAGTCTTATTCTTTGTCAGGCAGAGAATTCAGAAATCCCATTCAGAAAACCTAAAAGCATCCAGTTCCAATTCTAGTCATTCTTGAATGAGTGATCACTTTCCTTAGAGTAAATCCTATTGAACACATGGTGTTTGCTTTTAAATAAACATGCAAAGGGATTGTGCTGTACTGCTCATTTCCCTGTGGCCTACTCTGAAGGTCCTTCTTGCTTTTGCAATGTGTGAGCCGCTGCAGCACAAATTTTTTGTGCCGCGCATGGGCAATATAGGCGCAGTGAAGGAGAGCAATGCTCCAACAAAGGATTGCTGGTATGAGGAGAAGCCACAGCAGGAAATCCTCTGATGTGGCCTGGGCCTTTTAACACCTCTGTGTCACCAAAAAGGCATCACTACATTGAATTTTTCCCCTTTTGCAAAAGGGAACATAAAAAGATACCTTAAAACTTAAAAAAGAAGAAGAATCTGTGCACAAGTGTAAAATCTTAATAGTCTGAAGGCCACAATGGTGGTGAAGGTGCAGCGATGGGGAGGGAAATATATAGAGTCACTTAAGATCAAACTAGCTGTGGTGCAAACAGCATCATTAAAAAGCATGTCCACTATTTTGTTTTAATAGTAATACATGTTGTTTAAAAAGATGCTTGGCATTTGATGTTAACGTTTATGTATCATTTTTTCCCTTTGTTTTTCAAGTTTCAATAGATAAATGTTCTGTAGAGTAAATAAATGTTCTGTAGAACATGGGCACAAAATTATTATTCTCTCTCTCTCTCCCTCTCACCCTCCTCCCCACACACTGTCAGGTGGTGCTTTTTAAAAAATCTGCTGTCCTTTCCACAGTGAAAAGACACTTTTCAGATATCACTAAGAAAGGTTTAGAGGCAGGCCTTTTATGTTCATCGGCTGTGTTCTTGAGCAATGGCAACATAAAGAGCTGACATAAGTGATTCTTCTACTTTTTGCTGCTATTCTTACTTGCAAATCTTTTCAGGCAGAACAACAAAAAACGAGCTGAAGGAGCTCTCATTAAAGCCCTCAGTACGCACTCCTTTCTGTTGCTCCCTTAGCACAGCGCATACCATGCAAACTTACCTGGGAATTAACAAGGCGTATTGTGGTTTTCTGCCCTACATCAGCCTGGTACCCTCTGGTAGGGGCTCCATTAAACCGCAGCACTGCATCGTGGTGATCTGAAAGCAGCGAGGAGGAAATATAAATTGAAAGGCACCTGATCGAGCAAAAGCCCCGAAGTCTCAAAAGTTTCTGTTTCGAGCTCTGGAACCCAACTGTGCCACTGCTTTGGAAGAAGACAGTGAGGAGCGTTAGCCTTACTACAATCACTCTCCACTGTGAATGTGAAAACTTTCCATCAGCCCTGCCACATCTCAATTAGCTCCTGAAATTCTTATACCATTTGAAAGAAATCCACTGTTAACAGAGAACTGTGAACTCAAAAGTTCAGCAAAGGCAGAGCTGTGAAAGGGGGCACCGGTTGTTTCACTTCCATTTCCAAAGGAAGGAGAGAGCTCTCAAGCTGATGTCTGGCAGCCATTTTGGAGTGGAAGCGGCTTAAGAGTTTTGGAGTGGATGAGACACTGAGGCTTAACACAGACAGAGGTAATATTGGTTGTGGGTACTGAAAAAGCGGGAGCAGGTACTGAGTCTGTTTTGGACAGGCTTAGTTTATATTTTATGGATTTTTATAAGGCTGTCATATTGTATTGATTTTCTTTTACACTGTCTATCACCACTGGGGATCCCTATTGGACAGGTGAATACAGTGGTGCCCTGCAAGATGAATGCCTCGCAAGATGAAAAACTCGCTAGACGAAAGGGTTTTGCGTTTTTTGAGTCGTTCCGCAAGACGAATTTCCCTATGGGCTTGCTTCGCAAGACGAAACATCTTGCGAGTTCTTGCGAGTTTGTTTCCTTTTTCTTAAAGCCGCTAAGCCGTTAATAGCCGCTAAACCGCTAAGCCGTTAATAGCCGCTAAGCCGCTAATAGCCATGCTTCACAGGACGAAAAAACCGCAAGACGAAGAGACTCGCGGAACGGATTAATTTCGTCTTGCGAGGCACCACTGTAATTGTATTTAAAATCATTCAAGCTGAGTTCAGAATGTTGCATGTACATTATCTCAATCATCCTTACAACAACCCTGTAGGATAGATCAGTATTATTATCTCCAAATTACAGATGGGGATGTCCGCAGAAGCTGAAATACTGTAAGGCAGGGGTAACAAACATAATCCTTTCCAGATGCCTCCAATCAGCCCAGCTGGTATGGCCAATGGTCAGGGATAACATATGGAGAGCGTCATGTTAGCTACCCTTGTTCTAAGCCCTCCTTGTGACTTTATGGCTGAAGTGAGATTACAATGCAAGATTTAGACCAGGCATCCCCAACCTGCGGCCCTCCAGATGTTTTGGCCTACAACTCCCATGATCCCTAGCTAACAGGACCAGTGGTCAGGGATGATGGGAATTATGGTCCAAAACACCTGGAGGGCCGAAGTTTGGGGATGCCTGGTTTAGACTTAGGCCTGTAATATTACACCCGCTCTAGAGCTAGACCTGAGCTAGCCCAAGGTTTTAACACACAAGTACTTTTAACATGTTACTATGCCAGTTCTAGCAATGCCTTGCCCTAATTTCAAATATAATACCCAATACCCAGTTTTAATGTTCCAGGATCCCATGTTTACTTCCTACGAGACATCTGTGGTCACTGAGCAATGAAAGGCAGGAAGAGAGAAGAGAAAAGTCCTACCGGCAAATTCAATAAATTCAAAATTAAATAAATAAATGAAGTAAAAAATTGTCCAGTAGCACCTTAGAGACCAACTAAGCTGGTTCTGGGTATATGCTTTTGTGTGCATGCATACTTCTTCAGATTATATTCAAAATTAAATGTTTTTCCAGCCCCGTAACACTGAACTCCCCCCGCCCCCAAGTCAAAGATTTCAAACTGTATTTTGTTGCTTAATAAATGGCAGAGGAATAATGCAAACCTATTTCTTCCCCCAAATGAGATGACTTCATGGATCCTGCAGAGGACACAACTGCACACCGGCCCATCTGCCCCACTTCCATGCTGATGTTCTTCCCTGGCAGGTAGGTCTCCCATTCTGATGTATTGAAGGGCCCATCTGATGTGGTGATCATCCCAAAGTTCAGTTGCTTCCGGAGCTGGCACAACACTTTTTGGGGGCTGGATTTAGCAGCATACTTTGGCCCACTGTACTTCACACGGTATTTGTTCATATGCAAATAATTCTTCCTCACCTTTTGCAGTCTAGTGTTGAGGTTTCTGGACAAACTGTCCTTGTTCCACACTTTGATGGGACTTGGCAATTTCACAGGTTTTATGACTAACTTACTTCTTGCTGGCACTGCAGTGACGGCAACATGAACTTGAGATGTGTTGGTGGGCAAATGGAGCTTGCCTGTGCCATTGACGGCTTCATCCTGGACAGTTTCTTGTCTTAGGCTATTCCACCTCCACAGCCTCAACGGTCCATGATTGGCTTGGTCTTCTGTTTTAAACGAAACATAAAATCCTCTCCGCGATTCCTTCCACAAACAAATGGTCAGAACCAAAATAAATGCCAGGAGGACATATATCCATTTTCTAACAAAGTTGACATGAACCATAATGTACGATGCATCAGGTTAGGAAGATCAACTTCAGGTTGGAAGTTGTACCTAAAAAAAAAAGCATTAAAAATGCATTTTTAAAATCAGGATGGGGAGAGGAAAGAATTCAAGGTGTATAATCATTTGAAATCACCAAAATAAACAGCCCGTTACACAATGTCCGTCTTGTTCCAGGTCTTTGGCTAATATTTAAACCATCTTTGGCCTTTTAAACTGTGGGGAGTATATTTTTGTTTGTTATTATGGTGTGTATTTTTGTGCTTTTATATTGTAAACTGCCCTGTGATCTTCGGATGAACGGTGGCATATAAATTTAATTAACAACAACAAAGATGACAACAGCTCAACCTTCCTCCCTCAAAACTTGAAAATTGCTACAAGTCTTGAACAACCACTTAATAAAAGTTTTCTTGTTATACAAATCAAAGCACATGTGTAACTCACATTTCAATACCCTTTTTCCTTCTGCGCTGACATAATAATCAAAACCAGTGTTGTATTATGATGTCCATGGGCCGTAGGTCAGGGCCTTTTTAGCCTGATCTATTGATCCAGCACTTGGTCAAAATGGCCTCAATTTCAGTCACCAGAAAAGAAAAAAAATAATGTGCAAGGTCAAGCGATGATATTCTCAACTGTTCTGCAACTTTTCTGCACACGGCATGAAGCTGGCAGATCACCAGTGGCCCACAGACCAGACTGAGAACCTCTGCTTGCAACACAACCTCAGCTAAGAGAAAGATGCTTTTCCAAAAGTGGTTCCCATATGGACGTTGCTACCTTTAAGTGACCCTATTAGCACAGCTCTTAATGGAGCTACACTTTCTTGCTCTTCATACACAGGAAGCAGAGCATCCTCCAGCACACCTGAGACACTAAGCACAACCTTAGCCAAACCTAAGACCCATCAAGATGAGGGGGATTGGGAACAGTCAGATCTGTAGCTGGGCCTGGGATCAGCTAGGCTCAGGTGGCTGGAGTCCCCCATCTCAGTGTTAAGTTCCTTCATACTGGTTTCATAGAATCATAGAATCATAGAGTTGGAAGAGACCACAAGGGCCATCGAGTCCAACCCCCTGGTTTGGCTGAGGCCAGAGTAAGTCCCCCCCAAAAGGGTGGGGTAGGGGAAAACCTACCCTTGTTTGAAACTCCTTTTAACTCAGTCACATGACCTAGCAACCCAGTAGAAGTTACACCGGCAAAAAAGGAAGGTTTGTAAGTCCAATTCTATTTTAAGGGCTTGATTTCCCTCTGCCAGGCTTCAGCCAGCTCGGCTAGCAGTAACCTTCTCCTGAAAGGAGTAGGTGAAATTACACCAGCATAATTTACCCTGGCATAAATTACGCTGTCTTCCTATAGTTTGGATTGCTCTGGCCCCCTCCAATGCATCTCCCCCCCAATGTGAGATTTCTGCACCCTGTATTCATCTGGAACTTGTACATCTTAAGAGCTACAGCAGGTGCTATTGCTGGAAATGGTGTGATAATTTCTCCTTGCTCGTAGGTGCCAACTCTCTGGGGCCCTGGGTGTCTGAGCACCCACAAAATTCCTCATGAAGGGACAGGGCACCCACAAATTTCAGTGCCAGGGGCATGCATGCTGCATGGCAGCCACGGTCATGGGGTCAAGCTGGCACTCCTGTCCTTGCTGTAGCCACCATGTCTGCTATGCACTATTTCAGGCTTCCTCAACCCCGGCCCTCCAGATGTTTTTGGCAACTCCCATGATCCCTAGCTAGCAGGAACAGTGGACAGGGATGATGGGAATCAAAACATCTGGAGGGCCGAGGTTGAGGAAGCCTGCACTATTTTAACATTCTGGCACTCAATGCAGTTCCACAACAATCTCTTAGAAGGGGTCCTTGTTTTAATACAGTTTCAAGCAATACTTTTTATATCTAAGGACCAAACTACAAGTGATGTTAGCACTGTGATTGGCAACTTCATTGTTGGTCTTTAAAAATAAAAGACCAAAAAATAAAATAAAATCCCTGTGTCAGGGTGGTGGTGAATGTCATCAAGACCACAGCATGCTTGGAAGGGAACATTATACATATTAAATATGTATTCTGTAGTTGACCTCATTTGTAATGTTTTATTTTGAAATCTTTAATATAATATTTTAGTTCTATGTTATGTTGCTTTGACTGTATACTCTATACAGTGGTACCTCGGGTTACATACGCTTCAGGTTACAGACTCCGCTAACCCAGAAAGAGTACCTTGGGTTAAGAACTCAGGATGAGAACAGAAATTTTGCTCCGGCAGCACGGCAGCAGGAGGCCCCATTAGCTAAAGTGGTGCTTCAGGTTAAGAACAGTTTCAGGTTAAAAACGGACCTCCGGAACGAATTAAGTACTTAACCCGAGGTACCACTGTATTTGACTTTATTCAGAATGTTTTATTTATGTTTTATTGATTTAATATGGAGTAAACCGCTTTGAGATTTTTCTTAAAAATATAGAGCTGTATAGAAATTAATAAATAAAATAAATAAAATTATGCCTTCCTTCTCCAGCCACAATCTCTGGAGGGAGAGATTGTGAGACAACACAAGAAGCATGAACCCGAGACTGACATCCAAGGAGGAGTGCATGGAAGGGAAAGAGAAATACACAATTGTGCCCCTTTCATTTATAAGCTGCCTTACTATGCTTAAGTTGGCTAACATCAGAACTAAAATTAAGGGGAAATGAGGAGTGTGAGTGGACAATGAAACACAAAACCAAGTAAGGAAGAACAGGGCACAGAAGCAAGAGAAAAACAGGAAACCCCGCGGTACTCTGCACACTGCACAAAAATCAGTCTGTGATGCTCCAGGGGGTCTCTTGTGAGGCTCTGTCCTACACAAGTCACCAGACCAGTCACTCAGTTGGTCCCATAGATCCAGATTTCCCTTAATGACAGATAGATAGCAGTGGGCCTCTCCCTCTCTATGTTTAACTGTGTATATCAATAAAAGGCACGTGGGGTGAGGCATGCTATCTATGCAGTTGTGTATATCAATACAGCGCACGTGCAGTCCAGTAGGCTGTTCCTAGAATCCACACAGAGCAAAACAGCTTCATTAACTGATGAATATTAAACATGATTTACTTATTTATTTTTTTAAAAAGAACTAAAGAACAATAAGTAGTTTTATTACCCCAGCCTGGCGTACGCAACTCTCCTCTTTGATTGCTACCCAAACTGTTACCCCTAGGTGCTCATGGTTTTTTCTCTCCCTCATCTTTGTTCCCGATACCAGGCTTAGACATGGTTTTTTATTGTGAAAATCTTTTGTAAGTTTCTTTCAAAGGGCACTCGGGGTTATAAAGCAGGATAGAAGTATCCAAAACATACACATAAAATTGCCTTCCTTCTCACTCCATCTCAACACCTCCTCTAACTCCTTCAACTGCCACTCTCAACACTCTACAACCTGTCATTCACAGTGACTTCACACAGCACTGTCAATCAACCTGCTGCAGTGCAATTCACGTCCCAAGAAACTTGCATGGGCTTGGGCTGCAGCTGCACAGAGGGAGGGAGTGGAAATGTGTAGCTATAGCGAATGTCTGCTTGGTGATGGGATGTTCCTGGCAGCAATGACTCCTCTTGCTGGCTACGGCAAGCAAGTCCTTCAGAAGCTCTCCAGGGGGAGGAATCATTCCACCTTCCAGACTGGCAGAGTGAAGACAACTCCTCAAACCCCAAATTTGACAACTGGGAATGGCAACTCCAAACAAGGAACCAATAATGAAAAAGACAAGAAAATGAAGACGACAAACAGGGCAAATAGTCTGGGACATGTAGGTCGCCAGCAGAAGCCCTAAGCCACCAATCGCACTCCAGGTGGAAAATAGACAGTGAAGCAGAAGTGGGAGAGAAACTCACAGGAAGCAGAAAATTCCATTTTTGCCAAACAGGGATGGAGGACATTCCTACTAGGGTTATAACAAAGCAGGCTCCTTCAGACCTGTGTGGGCTCCCTCACCTACTGTGACAGAAGCCCCGGATAACTTTCCTGCCAAAAGGCTGCATCAGCCAATAAAAATGAGTCTATTTGATAGGGCTAACCAAAGTATGAGGAGAGACGCATGTGGCAACCATACAAATATCCACAATCGGAAAACTACTCTTGCGTGCTCAAGTAAGGGGTCACCTGGAGGAGCCTGCACAAATCACTGCTGCCTACTTTGCTCTAACTTTGCCTGTGGCTGCCAAGAGCCCCATCTCCAGCCTTGGCTATCCAGTCATTCATCCCAAGAGGGAAGTCTGCAATCTCCATTGTGGCAAAGTGGTTTGTGTGTGTGGACCAAGGACAAATAGGCAAAAGCTGGAAGTAGAAACCCTGAGTTCCAGACTGCTGCTTTCCTCTGGCAGCTGGGTTGGCAAAGTCAATATGATTTAAGGCATCACCAAGAGGCAGCTTCTAGCAGTATACCCACATCCTCCAGCTTTTGCTGTGGAGATGCATGCAAGCCTCTACTTCAAATGGGATGCTGGTTGCGTAAGAGACATTGGCATTAATGCGCATGCACCTTATCTGTGGGCAGTTCCTCATCTGGTGTGGAGTTACCCACAACCACAAGCCTATTAATATATGAAAAGCACGACCATTTTTCCCTTTCCTGTCTCATGAATTATCATATCCTTTTGGTGAGATTGTATAACATAGAGATCTCCTTGCTCTGAACTGCTTTTTCAAATGTTAGTATTCTTGCTTGCCAGATTTGAAAATTTAGAATTTGTATTTACATCAAATATATCAAGGCAGCGTACAGCATATAAAATTCAATAAAACCAGTCTGTAAATATCTAGGAAACATAATTTTAAACATCATTAGACACTGGTTGCGTGGCAATTCCCGCCCCCTCCCCAGATGGAGTAAATAAAGACACCGGACACCAGTATTTAGGTTAATGGGCGAAAATGGCCACAACTTTATTGATTACAGGTAAGAGTGGTATTGGCCTTAGGCATTGGCCCTAACAGACTATCCGGTCTAACCGGAAAGGGTTAAGCACCAACAGGGGGAGCCCCCGAGATGCACATCCCTAGGCGCTCCCCAAGGGGTTACCGCTCGGGGGCGCGCTTTAGGCCCTAGCCTCCGTAGGTTTCGGACGAGGCGACGCCCCTCGGAGTCCTTTAATGAACTACCCTTCAAGAATTGGGGGAGGTGATGGCACTCCTCCCCCCGATCTCATTTGCATAACAATACCCCTGCCAATGCCTAACCGCCAAAACCAATGAGTTGTGATGTTTTGCTACGAGGTAGGCGAAAAAACCAAGTGGCTTCAAAATTCAGCCAATTAGCCAAATGGAAAAACTCCTGCCAAGCCCCTTGCGGCGACCAGCCGAAGCCCATAGCAAAGTCCGAAAGCACACCTGAAGGGTGGGTGGGTGGGAAACTGCGGCTGCTGCGAAGAAGGAAAAAGGGGGCGAGCCAGGGCTGCCCTGACCTTAAGTGCCCTTAGGTAGGCCCGCCCCTTCTGCATGCCGATTGGCCGGCGCTGTATAAGGTGCATACTAATGGGAAACCCAAAATCCCGTGGGGCTGGCCCCAGCCCCGCGAGAATGTGGATGGAAGCGTGAGCCCGCAACCCCCCCCCCTTAGTTCGGGAGTGGCTTTGGTTGCAAGAAAACAAAATCATATCGTGAAAGCCTGTCTAAACAGTTTTCAGAAGATGTCTGAAAAAAGACAGGGTTGGTTGCTGCTGAACCTCCACAAACAGTGAGTTCCACAGGACAGGGACTGATACATTAAAGGGTCAGTCCCTCGTAAATGCAGCTGAATCCCACCTCATCAGAGGATCTCAGATATCAAGGTATCAAATATGAGATCATTTGAGGCAGATAACATCAGTAACCAAAACAGATACAGTCATACCTTGGTTCTGGAACTTAATCCATTCCAGAATTCTGTTCGACTCCCGAAAACGTTCAAAAACCAAGGTGAGGCTTCCGATTGGCTGCAGAAGCTTCCTGCACTCAAGCAGAAGCGTTCGGCTTCCGAAAAATGTTTGAACACCAGAACACTTACTTCTGGGTTTTCGGCGTTCGAGGGCTGATTTGTTCGACAACTAAGCCATTTGAGAACCAAGATATGACTGTATTCACTGTTTGAGTCACTTCCTATGCTTTTCCAGGATGATGACAGCCATTTTTAAAATTACAACTGTTTATAAGAAGCTGTGGAAAAGGTGATTTCATAAACCACCAAGAAAGCCTGAAGGCAAGGTTATGGCAACCTCAGTGAGATCATAGGAAATCTACAACAGGGACAGACAGTGCTTATACCCTCTTCATTAGAAAAAGCTGGCAGTACACAGCGTTGAATATTTCATTCCAGCTAAGCGTTAACCACAAGCAGGGTGCTACAATCTGACATGAAAAGGCACATCATTTAACCAAAAAGAGTCCCATAAATTAGTATTACATGGACAAGAGCTTTGCTGGTGTGGCAGTTTTGCTGCATTTTTGCTCTGAATGCAAATATGCTGTCATCCCACTCGTTGCACGGAAATGTACTTAAAACGTTCATTACCAAAAGGAGTAAGCAGGCATACAGTGTCTGTGTATTGATGAAGGCCCATCATGAGCCATCAACTTACGACTATCTAGCTCTTAAAGTAACAACTGGAAATTCTTAGAAACCAGTCGGGGACAAATAGAAGAAGACACCTCCACTCCAGTATGGATTCCCTTTAACACATACATAGCCCAACAAGACAACAAGATGAATCCACCAACAGGATATGAATCAATCTGGCTAACCTGTCCCAAAAATCCACCCCTTCACACACATAAACCAATTTGCAGGATGAAAATTTGCAAGTCAGTCTCTAGGCTAGCCAACCATGGTCACATGCAAGACTGGTCACCTGTCTCCTTCCTGCTCAGAAAGCCACCCAAATTCTTATTATACAAAATGTACTGGGAGAGAACTTCCTGACAAAACTGATACAGTGGTACCTCGGGTTACATATGCTTCAGGTTACATATGCTTCAGGTTACATAGGCTTCAGGTTACAGACTCCGCTAACCCAGAAACAGTGCTTCAGGTTAAGAACTTTGCTTCAGAACAGAAATCGGGCTCTGGCAGCGTGGCAGCAGCAGCAGGCCCCATTAGCTAAAGTGGTGCTTCAGGTTAAGAACAGTTTCAGGTTAAGAACAGACCTCCGGAACAAATTAAGTACTTAACTCGAAGTACCACTGTACATGCAAAATAGAGTTTGCTTTCCTGAAGAAACAAAAAACATACTAACCAGACACCATTTAAAAACTGTTTATAATGTTTGCAAAAATGTAATGTTTGCAACAATGTAAGGATCCTGTATGCAAAGCAGATGCCAGAATGAGTGAAACCAAACAAAACTGGGGGGTGACACCTTCCAAACTAAACATTTTGCTTTAATGTCAAGCACAGGTGTGAGGTACTTCTGAACAATAATATTTCTGTATGCACAGAATTTATTCTCTGCTTTTCTACATTAATATGTAGTCAAAGCACCTTATAAGTTTTGCTTAAACATTAAAAGAAACAGCAAACCACCAGAAATGATGGCTTAAATCAGTAATAAAAGCAGGCATGAGGTAAAAGCATTTTGGCTACACCCACTGAAACAGCACTGCTTTTAGGGTTCTTCTAAAAATTGGCAATGCTTCCATATCCATTCTCTCTCTCTTTTTTTTTGCATACACTCTCATCCCTTTGATTGTATACCAAACCACCATGATATAAACCCCCAGAATAAAAAGACATTTGGACTACAGCTATGAACAAATTACTGATGTTGGTGAAAAACCACCAACACAGAGACGAACAAGAAAGATGCTCAAAAGCAGCCTGATAATAGCATGAGCCTAGCACCCTGCATTCAATAAAACAAATGGGTTCAGGATTTAACACTCTATCCTACAGCCTTACAGTTGTGAAAGCGTGATTACTAGGGACAATCCGTCTAATCAAGCCAATGAAATCTTATTTCAGCTATTGCGTCCCTTAATTTCATTTGCTAATCTGACGACAGATTGGTTACCTGATGTCGATGAAAACTGAAGTTGCAACAGACACGGCAGGGTGTTAGAAGATTTCAGGGCTACTCATAATGCTCTTGCTGTCCAAGATACCCAGCCACTCAAAGCAGTGAGATCTCTAACGAAGGCTGAAGGCCACCTGTGAAATGAAAAACAGTTTATTAGAGAAAAAATACCAACAGCACAGGAGTCGTCATGCTTTTAGTATACAGAGATGAAAGTGAAAGACACAGACTTCTGATGCCTGAGCCAAGCCTTTTAAGCATGAAGGAAAGCATGCTAACGGCCTTCCGAGAGGCCTGAAAGAAACAAATGCAAACAACTGCCGGTCGCTGCTACGTAAAGTAGCTTATCCTGAAACAAATCAATGGATCCAATTTCATTCAAACCAAATCACTAAAAGCTCCCTTCCAACAATACATTCAAATGCCCTTCCAAGAACATTAGACTACTTCTCATGTGGAGAAACTGTGCGGAGCCTCATCTGTCGTTTTGTCTTCCAACTTCTCAACGAAACCAGAAACCTCCTGCTGCTCATCTCCTGCAGGTATAAAGAGCCCACGCCCAACCTATATTCTATCTTGATGTACTGCTTTTTGGAATTGAGACAACTCAGAAAAGAAGAACAAGCCTAATCTGGCATCTGGAGCCACTTTTGAGGTTGTTGAGACACAGCTGAGGGGAATCGGAACACCAGAACTTGACAGTGTGAAGTCATAAGAAGGAAGGAACTACATTTCCTCAATGGCAGCAAAGCTGGGGGGAGTAAGATATACTTTTTATTGATATCTTTAGCCCTTAACCACTGGGGAACAGTATCCCCACAAAATCACCTTATCCTACACATGCTCATTCAACTGCTTTGATCGGCAGAGCCGGCACTACGCTGGGTGCCACATAATGCCCATTTCACATTTGTAAGAACTTGGTTGATTAGTGCACTTTGGAACTCCCTGCCCATTGAGATCAAGCAGGCATCTGCTCACTATACCCTTTTTGGCGCCCGCTAAAAACATTCCTGTTTAGACAAGCCTACCCAGGTGCTTAGTGAGTTGAGGTAATTTTAACTTTGGGTGTATGAAATAGGGCTGTACATTTTTCTTGATTTTACTATTTGATCTTCTATAAACTACATTTGGGTTTTTTAAACAATCAAACAGTGTGTAATAATGAATGGATGGATTGGCAGGTGAAGGTGGTTTGAGGGGCACCCTATCTGGACATTCATTAAATGGGGAAAATATCACATTTGGGGATGCTCTTGCAGGGACAAGTGAGTTAACTCTGCTGCCTCCCTGGTGTCCGTTTTTGCTTTAGCGTTCCAAAATATATGGGGATCCGATATGGACCTGTAAACTCTTGGAAGGCAACAGAAGGAAGAATGGGGATAGCACTCTCACCCAACCCAGGTGTGATGAGGTGCCTATTTAAATAACACCTGAATGGGCCTAGAGCAGGGTTTTTCAGGCTGAGGGTCACATTTCCACCTGGGTGATCTTCCAAGGGTCTACATCCCAGTGGCAGAAGAAGAAGAAGAAGAGTTTGGATTTGATATCCCGCTTTATCACTACCCGAAGGAGTCTCAAAGCGGCTAACATTCTCCTTTCCCTTCCTCCCCCACAACAAACACTCTGTGAGGTGAGTGGGGCTGAGAGACTTCAGAGAAGTGTGACTAGCCCAAGGTCACCCAGCAGCTGCATGTGGAGGAGCTGGGAAGCGAACCCGGTTCCCCAGATTACGAGTCCACCACTCTTAACCACTACACCACACTGGCTCTCACCACTGGTAGGCAGGACCAGAAGCAAAAATGTGCAAAGCAGCAAGTGTACATTTTACCTTTGTACAATATACTATTTTCTACACGCACTCACAAAGAATCATAGAATTGTGTTGGAAAGGGACCCCAGGGTCATCTAGTCCAATGCCCTGCAAGGCAGGAATCTCAGCTGAAGCATCCATGACAAATGGCCACCCAACCTCTGCTTAAAAACCTTCACAACCTCCCGAGGGAGACTGTTCCACGGTTAACAGCTCTTACTTATATATCCCCCTCTAAGTTTCTAGCCAGGAAAAGGAAAACACACTCAAGAAGGGTATGAAGCGCGGCTCGTGAGGAGCGAGTCTCAATGGTCATTTGCCCCTGATGTCTGATGCTTCCTTACTACAAAACTTGATTCTTCCGCACATTCTTCTAAGACCAGTGCTTTTTGCATGTGTCGTGGCTGTATCAATGCATGCTGAACTAAGTACAGTCATGCCTCGGGTTAAAGACGCTTTGGGTTAAATCTTTTCAGGTTGCATCCCGCGGCGACCCAGAAGTACCGGAAAGGGTTACTTCCAGGTTTCGCCACTTGCGCAGACGCTCAAAATGACATCACACGAATGCACAGAAGCGGCGAACCGTGACCCGCGCACACGCAGACGTGGGTTGCGTTCTGCTCAGGCTGCGAACGGGGCTCCGGAACGGATCCCGTTTGCAACCAGAGGTACCACTGTAAGAGGCTTGGATAGCAGTTAGGGAAAGGAATTTGAAATGCTGAGGGAGGCACAAGTTAAGGGACAGCTACCAGGAAGTGATTCAGCACAGAAAGGAGAGGGAGAGAGAGAGCACGTGCATGAGAGCCAGAGAGAGTTAGGAATTAAAGAAAGCAGGTTTAAATAATGTCTTTGTTTTATACGACTCCTGCCTGATCCTTAGTGATCATTAACAACACTTGAAACAATGGTACTCACCAGCACAGAGTACGACCACATCTTTTCTTTTGCTGCCGTTTTGTATCGGCACTCAGAGCTTTTACCTTATATTTTACACAAATAACCCTCCACTGCATAAGACTATAATCATGTGCATATTTACCTGGAAGTAAGTGCCATTGAGCTCCATGATGCTTAAAAGGTAAAGGTAAAGGACCCCTGACAGTTAAGCCCAGTCGTGAACGACTCTGGGGTTGCGGCGCTCATCTTGCTTTACTGGCCGAGGGAGCCAACGTTTTTCCGCAGACACGTTTTTCTGGGTCATGTGGTCAGAATGACTAAGCTGCTTCTGGCGAAACCAGAGCAGCGCACGGAAGCGCCATTTACCTTCCCACTGGAGCGGCACCTATTTACGTGCTTTCGAATTGCTAGGTTAGCAGGAGCTGGGACCTGGCAACAGGAGCTCACCCCATTGTGGGGATTCAAACCGCCGATCTTCTGATCGGCAAGCCCTAGGGCTCAGTGGTTTAGACCACAGCGCCATCTGCATCCCTTCCATGATGCTTATTTCTGAGTAAATATGCCTAGATTTTACCTGCAAAGCACAATGAGCATATTCTTAATGAAGAATATTTCCCATTCTAAATATTTCCTAAACTAAAAAGCCACAAACATTGTGATCTTTCATTGCAAGAGAGTTTCTCCAGCTCTTTGGCCCGTTGGTTGCCCCCTTTCTACTGCTTTTTCAGCTCAACAGTATCCTTCTTTGAGGGGCAGTAACCTTAATGTAACCGACATTCCAGTCTAGGAAACAGCATTCTTCCCATCAGTCCACTATTTCCACAGATGTTTCCCCAAACCTGCTCAAGCTCACCAATTGTCTTCCTTCCATTCCTATTCCGCTGTCATTTTGCACTGGGCTGTAATTAATAGTAGGTTCATAATTTGCTTCTAAGTGTAACATTTTGGAATGCTCAAGTGTCTCCGACGCAGATTCTCTGCAATTAAAATAACCTTTACAGATCTCATCAGTGCTCCGAGATAATCTCACTCATTTCTGGCAGGGGATGCAATTAAAAATAATAATTGAACAATCGCTCCAAGTCATGGATTTCATTTAAGATCTTCATGTATAATCCCCACCCTTTTTACTTGAAGAAAGAAAGGTAGATTGTAAGGAGAAAGAGTTTGCCTTACAAACCTGAAAGATAATAAGTTACAGAACTTATTGTTACAGGAATGAAATTATTTAAGCAGATCTTCCTTTTAAGTTCTATTAGCCCTTCCTCCTAGGTCTGCTTTTATATATATATATATATATATATATATATATATATATATATATTTCTTATAGGACAAGGCTACAGAAAGCTCTGTAGGAAGAGAAATATTATGTAACCACACAATATTTTGGGGCAATCTCTCTTGAAGACGACTTCCATTGACCCATAGGTATATGGAAAATACCACGAGTCACTAACAATCCCTTCTTGGCCAACATATGCAAGGGATAGCCCTTGGCACCTATGGGCACAGCTGTCAACTTTCAGATTCAAAAATAAGGGATCAGCAGCCTCACCTGTCCCGGGGACATTCTACGGGATATCTAACAATCCGGGATAGCAGCGGGAAACGGCACTGGAATAAAGGAATTTCCCGCAAAAAAAGGGAAGGTTGAAAGCTATGCCTATGGGTCTGATGTTATCTGACTTCACTGCAAAGTGCTGAAAAGGCTGTGATTCATAGGTATGGAATGATACTTAATAATGTGGTTAAATAATTTAGATTTCATAAGCATCTTTGGGATTATAATCTTCAGGAAGTGGAGGAAAAAATAGCAATACATGTGTAACGTACTAGACTGGAAGAAACTCCTGCCTGAAACTTTAGAGAGCTGCTGCCAGTCCGTGTCAACAGTATTGGCATATATGGACCAATGGTCTAAATCAGCTTAAGGAAGCTTCCTATGCTACTCGGAAGGTATATTCAGATCTTTGCAGGAATAGAATAATAATAATAATAATAATAATAATAATAATAATAAATGTTATTTATATCCTGCCCTCCCCGGCCAGAACCGGTCTCAGGACGGCTAACATCTGAATATATAATACACTAAGACATAAAATTCAACAGAAATACAGGAAGAGTGCAGCATTCTACCCACCAAGTCAAACTGGCACTGCAGTGTCAGAACAGGCTTGCTACTGGAAATTGGGAATCTGCCACACAGTCAAAATCATTTTTTGGACTTGTTTTCCTTTATCCTCAGGTCTCACAGAAGGCATCACTAAAAAAGCAACTGGCCTGCTCCAGCAGTTCTATTCGTTTTACCTAAAACTACTGCCAAACTTCTATTGCTGATATTATTGCTCACTGCCACATCTTGAAGAATTACATTCTATTATCCTGGACCCCAAAAGTAACTGGGCTATTGTCATGAATCTTACTATGTATATATACCTCAGAAATAAATCACACTGGTACAGGTAATGAAGGCCCCATCGCAGAGCTACAATTCCCAAAGTGGTTTAACAGGCAATCCATCTTCCTGGGGAATTCTGTAATGATAGCTGTGTGAGGTGAATGGGAGGGGGCGGTTCCTCCTTACTCTCAGCACCCTTTACAGTTTCCAAGATTATTTGAGGGAAGCCAAGACTGTTTAAAGGGACGCGGGTGGCACTGTGGTCTAAACCACTGAGCCTAGGGCTTGCCGATCAGAAGGTCGGTGGTTCGAATCCCCGCGACGGGGTGAGCTCCCGTTGCTCGGTCCCTACTCCTGCCAACCTAGCAGTTCAAAAGCACCTCAAAGTGCAAGTAGATGAATATGTACCGCTGCGGCAGGAAGGTAAATGGCACTTCCGTGCGCTGCTCTGGTTTCGCCAGAAGTGGCTTAGTCATGCTGGCCACATGACCCGGAAGCTGTGCACCGGCTCTCTCGGCCAATAAAGCGAGATGAGCGCCGCAACCCCAGAGTCAGACACGACTGGACCTAATGGTCAGGGGTCCCTTTACCTAAGACTGTTTAAAGGGGTATGATATATACAGTGCAGAGAGCAGATGCAGCCCTGTGCTTCCAAAAGTACAGACTGCAAAAACTTCTACCCCTATTCTAAATTTATATTTTTCATCTTCCTCTTTTTTTAGTCCCAGCTCTCACTAGGTAACATCAGCTCAATAACAATCAACTACCTTTCTGCCATTTTACAACTGGGGAACTGAGGCTAAAGGAATAGTTGCTTGGTGGGCTTTTTCTGAATTCAACTTGCATGGAAACAAACAGCTGCAGAGCAGCTCAATTTAAGTGTTTCTAATAACTATATATATAAACAGCGTTTCCGTGTGCTGCGCTGGTGCTGGCTCACCAGAGCAGCTTCGTCACGCTGGCCACGTGACCCAGAAGTGTCTCCGGACAGCGCTGGCCCCTGGCCTCTTAAGTGAGATGGGCGCACAACCCTAGAGTCGGACACGACTGGCCCGTATGGGCAGGGGTACCTCTACCTTTACCTTTACTAACTATATATAACTAAATGTGAACCGAGAAGAGGAAAAAAGTTGGGTTTCTTAGTTTGTGTCTCTAAATTTAAATTGCAGGCTTGTTCTGTGATTCATCTGGCTGATGGTGGTGGTTTATCTATTTTACTCTTAGGAGGAGAAAACGCTCCGTGAGCTTTGCATAAAACTCAGAAAAGCGATGGGTGGGGATAGAACAGGTGCCATCCGAGAGGTGACAAAATGTCACAGCTGAAAGGCAGCTGCTCAGCAGAACAGAAGCAACAAGAAACCTCTCAAGTGAAAAGCAAAGAAGCGGCAACCAGCCTAAGCAAATGATAAGAAAAACCGCATGGGCCCTGTAGAATCAGCGTCATCAATCTCGCTGTTTTCAAATGTCTGCAATCCAACTCTGCAGGAAGCTGCCTTAAACTGAGGTAGACCACTGAGCCATCTAGATCAGTATGGTCTACAGCGGCAGTTCCCAGGTTTTGTTTTGATATGGGGACTCACAAGTTCATATTCACTTGCTAGGGTGGCCCACCATATTTTTTTTGCAACATGACTTTTGGGCTGTCATTCCCAGCTCACATGCAGTTCTGCCCTTCCTTCTTGCTGATAACCCACTCCAAGGACCTCTCCGCCACCTACGTCATTCAAAGTTGAGACCCTAAACCTTGTCTCTGCCTCCACCCACTAGCACCCAGCAAAGAAGGGGCCCCACTTCCCTTTGCCTGGCAGTCTTAGCATAGAATTGTAGAATTGGAAGGGACTAGAGGGACATCTAGTCCAACCCCCTGCAATGCAGGATCAGCCCATCACTGGCCTTTGTCCCCTGCTAATGGCCCATCCAGCTAGCTCTGCATTACATTAGCTCCCCCTGAGTTCTACCACATCAAAAGGTAAAGGGACCCCTGACCATTAGGTCCAGTAGTGGCCGACTCTGGGGTTGCGGCGCTCATCTCGCTTTATTGGCCAAGGGAGCCGGCATACAGCTTCCGGCTCATGTGGCCAGCATGACTAAGCCGCTTCTGGCGAACCAGAGCAGCGCATGGAAACGTTGTTTACCTTCCCGCCAGAGCGGTACCTATTTATCTACTTGCACTTTGACGTGCTTTCAAACTGCTAGGTTGGCAGGAGCTGGGACAGAACAACGGGAGCTCACCCCGTCGCGGGGATTCGAACTGCCGACCTTCTGATCGGCAAGTCCTAGGCTCTGTGGTTTAACCCACAACGCCACCCGCGTCCCCTTCTGCCACATTAGAAAAGGACAGTTCCTGTGTATATTGTAGACATGTTCATCATTCAAATGCAAAATGCATTTCTGCAACTAGAGGTTGCTGCCATTTGCATGAGAGGAGTGCACAGAGTCCTTTTTCCTGTGAATAGTTCCATATATTTTTCTGGTGAATTCTGATCTAGTATGGAGATACTAGAAGCAAATGTCCTATGCCTGGTTACCTTTTCCTTGCGCATACTATTCATACTTATCTGAAAGACATTTCCACTGAACTCAGCTGGGCTTGCAATGTATAAGATTGTACGGAGGCATTTATAGTTTTTCAGGCAGCAATCCTATGCACACTTAGCTGGGGGTGGGGTGGGGAAGCACCACTAAACAGTTGGCCTTACATGCATATGATTGCTATGTATAAACATCTCATTAGCACAAGTTGTGCTAAATTATGGCACATTTTATGTTGTTAAAACATAAAGTTTAGATTTGATAAGAAAGCAACAAAGTTATGATTGCAAATATTTCGGCTTCTCCCCAAAATTACGGTTCTCTCCTCATCCCCGCAATGGCTTCAGCATTTGGGAAATTTAGCACCTCACCTACAGATTATGCTTCCATCCATTGAATAGGTACAAGGACTGTGAGCTCTGCAGCGGTTGCAGAGGCTGCATTGCTGTTTATTTTAGATGCTAGTACTACACAGCTGCCCCCATCAGTACCCTCCACAGCTTCTCTAAAATTTCAAGAGGTTTCTTCCCATGGATAACACAGCAGTTTGCAGTGATATCCCAGTTTAATAGCCAAGGAGAATGTCAGGACTTACAGCTACAGAAGTACTGTCTAGAAGGATCCAATATGTTGGAAATGTTTAGATAAGGAGGGTTCGTTAATCCATATGAAGCGGCAATGCGAACTTGCCCCCCAAAAAAACAATTCTGGGGAATGATTTATGAAGAACTAAAGAAGATGCTTCAATATTCCTTTCCCAAGAAGCCAGAAGCATTCCTGTTAGCTGTAATAGGACAGGAAATTCCAGATAAAGTAAAAAAACCTTTTCCTTTACGCAACAGCAGCAAAACGCTAAAATGTGGAAGGAGACAAAAAAACAGTGGTTGCTTAAACTAACTGACAAAAAAACAGTGGTTGCTTAAACTAACAGAATATGTAGAATTGGGCCACTATGACAGCCAAAATAAGAAATACAAAGAGAAATACAGTCTTAAGCAAGGGGGAACAACTAGAAGAGTATCTAAGAAGTAGTAGTATAACCCTACCCTACAAGTAGGGTTAAAGACATGAACACCAGTAAACAAAACAAAGAGCGAAAGATAGAGATGGGAAAGAGTGGAGTACTTTAGGAGTTGCAGCAAACCAAAGGGATTGGGCTAGGATGTCAAGGAAAGATAGATTGGGAAGTCTAGGCGAGATGGGATAGGAGATGGTGTATGTAACTGGAACAAATTTAACCAATTGTAACTTGAAAGTGCATAAACAAACAATAAAAAAGGAGTATTGTCTAGAATGCTACAATGACAGTTTTTCAACCAAAGCCTAACTACCACTGATATTTATGCTTGGCAGGGCTAATGTAGACAAACATATAAATACAGTGGTACCTTGGTTTACGAACTTAATCCGTTCCAGAAGTCCGTTCTTAAACCAAAACTGTTCTTAAACCGAGGCGCGCTTTCCCTAATGAGGCCTCCCGCCACTGGTGCCCTTCCACCGTTCAGATTCTGTTCTTAGACTGAGGTAAAGTTCTCAAACCGGGACACTATTTCCAGTTTTGGGGAGTTTGTAAACCAAATCGTTCTTAAACCGGACTGTTCTTAAACCGAGGTACCACTGTATACTGTTGTGCCATTGTTTGTATGCCCTTTTGGGGTTCATCTGAATGGAAAGAGGCCTAGAAGAAGAATAAATCAAATCACAAATGTCTTTTTTCTTTTTGTTGTACAAAAACTGGCAGGTCAACCCTACGGTTCCGCCAAGGTTACCATAACATAGTTAGACTCGCCAGGAGCAAAAAGCACAATTGCTGCACTAACTGAAATGCCCACAGCATCCCTGCAAACTTTGCCACCACTCAGCAATCCTGAGGTTGCTAACTAATGGTAATACACATCAGCCATGCATGGACCTCATCAGCCAATGTGTGGCAACAGTATTAATGTCACATTGATGCTAGTGTACCCAGTATATATGCCCCCTACATGCACAATGCGGAAATGGGCAGCCAGAAGAGACTACATTGCTTTGCCAGTGCAGACCACCATGTAGCTGTGGCAACCAACTAGCCATAAATGTCAGGACAGATACTTGTATCTCAAGGCATTTGCAAACAATGATCAACCAAGCACTTTGGGCAGGGGGGCACTAACCTTTTTGGACCAGTAGGCACATGTTGAATGTTGAGAGGGTGCTGCCAGTCACAAAATAGCTGCTGGGGGGGCATGGGGCATGGTGTAAACCAAAATTAGAGAGACAGCCTCCGTGGAAAAGCCTAAGAGAAGTCAGCTGTGTCCTGCTAGTCCTGATTGTGGAGGACAATAATGATTTTTTACACACAAACACACACACATGCTGTTTGTGTCTAACAGCAGCAGGGAGCATTCCTCAGTACCAGGAAAAGTTGGTCACAGCACAACACACTTTCATTCTACAAAAATCAGTAAGGCACTATCTACATATTTTGCCCCATTATGTTCTTCTAGAAGGACTAGAGACTTTTGACTCTGGGGCACCTGCCCTGGGGCACCAGTGAAAGTCTTTGTGGGCAGCCAGGGAGCCCGCAGGTGCTATGTTGGTGACCTTGGACTCAGGAAGGGCTGCCATGCCATTCCACTGAACAGCCAGCAAGCTCTACAGCCCAATGCGTAGAGGAAAGATCTAAGACTCACTGCAGGAACAATGGTCCAAACACTCATCAGAGCACTCCACACAGTGAAGCTGTAATGGTGCCCTTGGGAAAGGGGAAAGTAATTGGATCCCACACACAAAGAAAACGAGAAACTGTGACAGAAAGTTCACCTTTGAGTATTTTGCCAGCACTTATGCATCCAGGTTTTAACACAGCGCTCCAACTTGCAATGACTGTATTAGCTGGGGGATGAATGGGATTTCCCCAGCAACAACCTATTGTTCGGTTTGCATGCAGAGAAGCTGAGACCTGCCCCCAAACAGAAGCATGGAGGGGAGGGCGCAGGTTTGGCTCTCCTCTGCTGTGGAGTTTCTTTGACATAGAAAGTAAAGCCCACTCCTGCTTTAGAAATGAATGGGTAAGTATGTACTGAAGGGGTGGGGGAAGCACCTAGATGCGCTGTTCTAGGCTTTGAGTCAAAATGAAAAGTAGTAGTACGGTGTTAGTTTTTTTCAAGGGGAAATTTCTGGATCACATGTGACATATAAGCATTCCTTTCTCACCTGCTTGAAAAAACGGGGGGGGGGGGATGGTGTAAGAGTGATGGTTTGGGGTGGAAAAGCATTAATGAGGCCAGAATGCCCTCAAAAGTTCCTTGATAATCCCATAACAAAGTTGCCTTTTGTTCAGGGAATTAAAGCTGATGAGCATCGAAACTAATTGTCTGGCATCTTCCTTTGGTCTTTTGACTGGAGCACAAACAAACAAACAAACAAACACACAAACACCCTACTCCCTGCCAAGCTAAGGATGATGTAATCTAGGTATCTGTGGAGAAAAGAAGGGGACAGGCTGAAGTCTGAGTGTGACTAAAGGAAGCAGAGTTACTGAGAGCTAGTTTGGGGTTTGGAAGCTAGCAGCACTTCAGGCTGTTGGTTGTGGAGTTGTGGTGGGGGGTAGGGGGGATTTTGGTGCACCTCTGCCTATGTTTAACAAGTATATCTGTAAACAAGTGCAAATATTACAAAACACCAAAGCTCCAGTCACCTCCTCTCCTTCTAAAATAAACTAAATCTGGGTAAGCGCTGCATCACTGGAATTTCTCACTACTGGGAAAGCTCAACAGACATTTCTTCTTTACGCTCAACTTCACTGTCAGGACTTAAAGGTAAAGGTAAAAGTACCCCTGACCATTAGGTCCAGTCAGGGACGACTCTAGGGTTGCGCGCTCATCTCGCTCTATAGGCAGAGGGAGCCAGTGTTTGTCCGCAGACAGCGTCCAGGTCATGTGGCCAGCATGACTAAGCCGCTTCTGGTGAAACCAGAGCAGTGCATGGAAACGCCGTTTATCTTCCCACTGGAGTGGTGCCTATTTATCTACTTGCACTTTTGGCGTGCTTTCAAACTGCTAGGTTGGCAGGAGCTGGTACCAAACAACATGAGCTCACCCCATCGCGGGGATTCAAACCACCAACCTTCTGATCGGCAAGCCTTAGGCTCTGTGGTTTAGACCACAGCGCCACCCGCGTCCCTAAATGTCAGGACTTAGTAGAACTGAATACTTTTGTCACAATTGCATCAGGCCCAAACCACTAGCTCTCTATCATTACAGATAATACAGTGGTACCTCTGGTTACGTACTTAATTCGTTCCAGAGGTCTGTTCTTAACCTGAAACTGTTCTTAAACTGAAGCACCACTTTAGCTAATGGGGCCTCCTACTGCCGCTGCACCACTGTCACACGATTTCTGTTCTTATCCTGAAGCAAATTTCTTAACCCGGGGTACTATTTCTGGGTTAGCGGAGTCTGTAACCTGAAGCGTAGGTAACCCAAGGTACCACTGTAGTATGTTTTCTCAAAACAGAAGGTACAGAACAGAGCTTCATTTTCCTTGGTGGCTACAGTTATTTCATTATTTTCACTGTTGATAGGTTTTGTGGAATGTGGTGATGCGGCGTGTGTGTGTTGAACAAAAACTTTTAAACCAGAGACAGACAGCACTGAGATCAATCAATAAATTACTATGTACACTACAATGCCTTTGGCCCTCTTAAAATTATTAATTAACATAAAATACTGCTCCTCACAAGAAATGCTGTGGAAACAAGGTACAATAACATTGTAAAGGTCTCAACAGCCATCAATTTTTACTGTTCTGAGAAGTAGGAGATATGTGGGCAATTGTATTGGAGACTATGCTGCTGCACACAGGAGTGGCCATTTCCTAGGTAACACAAGATCCTTTGGCAATAAAACAGGAGGCATGACCAACAGAGCTTAGAAAAAGGTCAAGCCAACAGCAACAAGCACACACACTTATGGCTCCCAAGTACGTGCTCTGCTTGAATTCAGTATACTTTGCTTATCAGTCATGTGGCATTTTCTGGAGTTTTTCCATGCTCATGTGGTTCTGCCTCACTTTAAAAAGCTATTACTGGAACTAGAATTTCCTTCCCCGAGTAAGCATGTTTAACATACAGAACCAATACCTATATATGTTTGCATATTAAAGAGCAAGTCCATTCTGAGATGTGAAAAATTCCCTTCCCAAATCCATTTTTTTTTTGCAACACAGCCTAGGGGATGGGAATGTAATGTCTACAGATGTATATATAACATTCTGGAGTTTCCGTAACAATTATTTCTTTTTTTTCAGCTTTTCACTTTAAAAAATACAAAAACTGAGGCCAAATGAGAAATGTTGAAGCCGACTGCCATCAAGCAAGAATTCTGGTGGTCCAAAAATACCAAATGGTTGTTTTCACTGTGAAAACACTTTAAAACATGACAGACGAAAGGAAGTCCTTCTTCACATGGCACCCAGCTAAACAGTGGAACTTGATCCCACAAGATGTGGTGATGGCACCAACTCACAACAGCTTTAAAAGGGGATTAGACAAATATTAACAGTTACTTGTCCTGATGTGTATATGCTGTCTCTACGAATATCATTTCCTGGGAAACAACAGCAGGAGAGAACTCTTGTTCTGTTTGTAGACATCCTGTAGGCTTCTACTTGGCCCCTGTGGGAAATGTATGCTGGACTAGATAAAGACTTTGGTCGGATCCAGCAAGGCTCTTCTGTTGCTCTGTTTTTTTCCGGCTGTGAAAGGTATCCAACTAAGTCATATTCAGAGCAGACCCAATAGTTTTTGCTGATTTCAGTGGGTCCACTCAGAGGATGACTAATGTTTGTTGGCTTTCACCCATGATTTCATAATGCTGACTTTCACTGTGAAGCAAAGTAAAGTCAGAATAAACACTCTTGTATTTTTTCCATGCAGGAAACTAGATTTGTTTTGTTGCCCTTGGCTCTTTTAGAGAATCTGACAGACCTTTTAAACTGTGTTCCATTACCACCTGCATAATCAGATAGCAATGAAACAAAAATCAGTTATGCTGGTCAGTAGAAGTGCTGAATGTTCTTCGTGTCCAGCCTTCCTTCACGGAACTGAACAGATTCACTGAAGTGAATAAGACTCTCCAATGGCAAGGTAACAGCACAATTAGCAGTCAGCTTTGCAATCCACAGAAAAAACACTGACATGAAATTGAAAGCTAACAGTAGTCCTCTTTGTACATTTCTTAGAAGTAGTATTTCTTTTCTTGTCCTGTCTTTAAAAGCAGAACTTCAATGAAGTGCATAAACATCTCTGAAATAAGAATTTCTATTTCCCCCACTTTTCATACCTTAGATTCTGAATGTTTCCCGATTGGTCCAAGAGGTGGCAATTCCATTTTGGAACTATCCACTTGCCGTTGTATAGAGTGACAAAACGACGGGCTGACATGGTGGGCTTTTTGCTTCCATGGGTTCCTTTAAAAATGTAGCATTTTATCAAGCCTTTGCTCCTTCCTTTTCCTTCGGACATCCTGTACCCATTTTTAGGGTGACAGAGAGGCAGGCAGTGAAACTGCCTATTTTTGCTCCTTCCTTATTAGCCACAGAAATACTTCAACAGCTTGCATTGCAACTTGGTTTAAAGCAGGCATGGCCAAACTTGGCCCTCCAGCAGTTTTGGGACTACAACTCCCATCATCCTAAGCTAACAGACCACTGGTCAGGGATTATGGGAAATGTAGTCCCAAAACAGCTGGAGGGCCAAGTTTGCCATGCCTGGAAAGGAATGGCACAAGTAAGGAGTCTGAGCACTTGTGCTCAACCAAATGCTGGAGCTGCACTCTTTTTACTACCTGCATTTTCTTGAACTTGAACAGGCATACTCTTATATACACAAATGCAGGATGAAAGTGAGGAATTTAAGATAAACCTCTCTCCCAGCGATGAGGGTTCTGTTTTCAAGCTACTGGCACTTTAAATTTCAACTGAGTTAGGGAAACAACTTTTCCCCCCCTCCCTTGCTGCATATTGAGTGGTCATCAAAAAGTTGAGCACTGTGACAGGATGCAGATCTTCTCTTTGCTCCAGGAATAATAAATATTTAGTTCTTTCAATTCGGCTGGAAATCTCTCACTGACTCGCACACCATTCCCAACACATCTCTGCTTCAGCAGAGAAGTCCTGCGCTGCTTTTTGTGTGACATTCCAATTTACCTACAAAAGAAGTTTCCCAAGGTCTCGGTGTTGTTTATTTATTGTAAGTGAGCTGAAGTTCTTGCGGTTCATTTTAAGAAATGCGAAAAGAGGAACAAGTTTTATTTTTCTCCGGTTCAATGCTCCTTGTGGTGAAAGACACCTTACAAACCCAAGTGACAGTTACTGAGGGATGCTGATACAGAGATCACCATCTGCAGCATCAACAATTTCAAGAAAAGCAGAGTCAGATGGAAACTTTATATCCACTACCCACATCAACCAATAGCAGAATGAAAGCAAAATATTACCTCCAGTGTTTCAGGAGGACTATATCTAAGCCTTCTTTGTTCTCTGAGCTGTCTCCTCATACTTCCTCCGCTACAGCATAAATATAAAATAAGCTAACTTCCACAACAGTAACAGTGTTAGTTACTGTGATATTCTGTGGGCTGACATACTGGCAGGTGTAAATGTGTGGCTGAGTGAAGATGACATTGCCTTGTGAAAGGGGAAAGAATACGACCAGATGGACCTTGAATTTTTCCCCCCACTTTATGAGTCACCTCTCATTTTGCATATTTCTTTTTTTAGGACTAGAATGAGCATACCAGACCTATCTCAATCTGGTTTCAGGCCTGGTTTTGGTACAGAAACTATTTAGATGAGCCCAATGAACGATGCTGAGAAAAGAGACAAGGGATAAGCAACTCTGCTTATTCTCCTGGAGTTCTCTGTGGCTTTTGATACCACCACAGAATCATAGAGTTGGGATGCCAAGGCGCATCTAGTCCAAGCCCAATGCAGGAACACCAACCGTTCTGAAAGTGTGATTATCAGGGACAATCTGTTCAATCCAGCCAATGAAATCTTATTTCAACTACAGCGCCTCTAAATTTCATTTGCTAATCTGATGATAGATTGGTTACCTGATGTCGATGAAAACTGAAGTTGCACAGTGTTAGAAGATTGCAGGGCTGCTCTTGCAGGGACAAGTGGGTTAAATCTGCTGCCTTCTTGGTACCTGTTTTTGCTTTAGAGTTAATAATAATAATAATAATAATAATAATAATAATAATAATAATTTATTATTTATACCCCGCCCATCTGGCTGGGTTTCCCCAGCCACTCTGGGCGGCTCCCAACAGAATAAATGATAAAAAAGGGATAAAAGCATATCAGTATGTAATGAATGATGATTTGCAGGGTTAAAGAAAGAGAAAAATGGTGTAAAAAAGTATAAAGATAGAGGTAATCTATATCAGACACAACAGCTTAGAAAGAGTAAAAATTTTGAGGTCTTAGACCAAAGGAAGGAAGTCAATGTATGTATGTAATGACTAGATTAGAATGATGATATCGTTTTATTTATAGATGTGTGTTTTTGTTTTGGTTTTTTGTGTTCTTTTTTTCTCTTGTGTTTTGTTTTTGATTTGTTTTTTTCTTGTTTGTACTGTTTTATTTTGGATTCAATCTTTGTTAATTTTTGTTGTAATTTTGCTTTGAAAATAAATAAATAAATAAATAAATAAATAAATAAATAAGCGATAAAACACCACACATTAAAAACTTCCCTAACTTCCAAAATATATGGGGATCCGATATGGACCTGTAGACTCATGGAAGGCAACAGAAGGAAGGATGGGGCTAGCACTCTCACCCAACCCAGGTGTGATGAGGTACCCATTTAAATAACACCTGGATAGGCCTAGAGCAGGGTTTTTCAGACTGAGGGTCACATTTCCACCTCGGTAATCTTCCAAGGGTCTACATCCCAGTGGTAGGCAGGACCAGAGGCAAAAATGGGCAAAGCAACAAGCGTACATTTTACCTTTGTACAATAGACTAGTTTCTACACGCACTCACAAAGAATCATAGAATTGTAGAGTTGGAAAGGGACCCCAGGGTCATCTAGTCCAACCCTCTGCAAGACAGGAATCTCAGCTGAAACATCCATGACAGATGGCCACCCAGCCTCCAGAGGGAGACCATTCAATTGTTAAACAGCTCTTACTGTCAGAAAGTTCTTCCTGCTGTTTAGTCTCCTTTCTTGTAATTTGAAGAGCTATTGGTTTGAGTCCTGCCCTCCATAGTCTTTTTCTGGAGAGAATGAGTTGCAGGACTGAGGGTGCCTACCTGGAAAAAAAACTTTCAAAATATGGTGCGGGGAGATTACAGCACAACATCAAGACATCTATGGTACAGCGTCCCCTCATATTTTCCTTCTGACTCCAGTGCTGTTTATCATCGACATTAAGCTGCTGAGTCATGTCATCCAGAGGGTTTGAGTCAGGTGAGGTGCCTTTTGTATGTTATCATCAACACCTAGCTCTGTTTCTCCTTTTCATGAGATTCGGGTGAGGCAGTAAAAGTGCTGAACGGGTGTCTGAGATCAGTAATGGACAGGATCTTGGCCAATCAACTGAAGGGCAATCAATTTAAGAAGGATGTGCTGTGGGCAAGTCGTATTCTGGGGGAAAAGTTGTACTCCCTCTACAGCAGATTTGGGGGACTTGAGGTCCTTCAGGTGTTCCTTTCATGCACTGGTTGCCAATTTGCTGCCAGACCAAGTTCAAAGTTCTTGTGTTAATTCACAAAGCCCTAAACAACATGGGCCCAAAGTCCCTTAAGGACCATCTGATCCCTTATACTCCACCTCAATCACTGAGAACCTGATGGGTCACTTTTGGCGGTTCCTCATGCCCTTGAGGTTTGCTTGGCCTTCACTAGAAACTGAGTCTTTAGTGTGGTAGGCCCTGCCTTGTAGAACTCCTTACCAGTTGAGGTTTGGCAGGAACCATCTCTGCCTTCTGTCTTCTGAAAACTGTACTGTTTAGATAGGCCTTCATAGTATGAATTTCTCCAACCCAGTGTTCTCCAGACTGCAACTTCTATCATTCCTAAACATTAACAGCCCTGGTCAATGAGGCTTATGGAAGACACCAGTTTGCAGAAAGCTGGTGTACACCACTCTGTGGAGCAAGGGCAAGGAGACAGAGACAACGTCCACCAGACCTAATAAAACAGAAGACAGTGGGGAACCAAGGACTGAACCCCACGTCAGGGATGTTTCAAGTTCTGATATTAGCAAACTCGAGGAAACAAAAAGGTGCTCACAGAGTTTTCACTACAATCTTATTTGCACTGGTTGTGAGAAGTCAAAACAGCACTCTCCACCTTGGTCTCGTTAAGTCACTGTTCCAGACAGACTATCTTAAGTTGTGCGGAACTGGTAAATTATCTCATTATATAGGTATACTTATAGTCTACTTATATAATTACTTCCTTCTTTTTTTACATAAAAAGTAATGAAGCATAATGGCACTTGGGTTTCTCATATTATTATTCACAGTGCATAGTGTTTGGAGCTGTCCTTCCTACCCTCAAATGAGTTTGCTCATCTGTTGTTTAGTAGAAAACAGGAACATAATGCATCTATTTAGCAATACCTTTTTTGTGACTTTCTTTCTCTCTTGGAACGCATTTAAACCTCAGGATCCCATAGCTCGCCCACCCACCGCCCAATCAATCTGTTATGTTTCCTAACCCAGTATCAAGATGGTATGTTTCATTCAGTGCATCTTCCCACACACCTCAGATATGGAGTAAACCAGAATAGGATACAGAAGGAGAAGGCTCCTCTTTCTCCTGCCCACACTCCCTAGCTCAGAGAAGGCTGGATTGACATGAGCAGAACAGATTGACTCCACTATGCCTCACTTCCATGGCAGTGGCTTGAAAAAGTACAGGAATTTCCAAATGCCAAAAAACTGCATGGGTAACTCTAAGCCTCTCAAGGAGAATTTAGACGGATGCCTTCTTTGACCGCCTTCATTTAATGAACAAGAAGCTTGATGCATAATATTTGATAAAGACTGGGTATACAACATAGGATTTCTGTAAGAAATGAGGGTGGAGGCCAGAAGGAAATACCAATCGGTGTGCAGTAATAATACATCTTGCACTGCAAAGTATTTTCGGTACAGATTAGATTCCAATGCTAAGTTGAGAACGCAACTGCCTAGACTTCGCCAGAATGATATTTTTATGCTTTTGTGAGTCACTGATTCTCCAGAGCCTGTGCAATTGGCCTTTTCCATTTTCCATTTTCTCTCAATGGTGTGATAAATGCCAAGTGTGTCACAGATCGCCAGAGATGTCACTGACACGAACCAACAGATGCCCATAATATTTGCAATGCCACATCCTGTGCAGCACTCCAAACAGTACTAGAAGTGGGCAAGAGGGAAATAATATGTTTCCACTGATTAAAGATAATAATACTGCATCTTCCAGTGTCACCGAGATCTAATTTTCCCACAACAGACTTGCTTGGCCTGGGGGGTGGGCAGGAAATTTCAATCTGCTGTCACAACCAAGAAACAACAGTACACAATAAAGCAATCGTCTAGAAAAGCTTGAGATACTAAACTAAAGCCTTTCTAAAAGAACAGCACCTAAATCTTAAGTCATAGTCGCTCAAGTCCAAAGGGCAAGCCTTGCTGGAGTGTATGTCTTACGAAGCGGCTGTAAAAACAGGGTAGCTGTTTATACTTGAGAGAGGATTCTGGCACTGGGCATCTATTTCTAGCTTCTTCTCCATTCCCTCTTCCTCGCTACACATCCTTCCAAAGCAGTCCCAACATAATAACTGAGAATACAACCATTCTCCCACATGCTGAGGTCATTCAGGCAGACGGCTCACTGACTGGAATGTTGCTATAGTGCTGGAGCCCTAAAGCTGTTAACTCCCTGGTGATGAAGGGGGTAGAGGCACAACACATGCCGGACTGGGAAATCCAGACAGAAAAGGATTAGTATCACATGAAGGGGATCTCCTGCATGGAGCTCTCTAACTCAACCCCCCACCCCACAGTCCTCAAATGAAAAGACATTTGCGATATAGAAGGATCAAGAAGAGACAGACACCTTTGCAGCTTGGTTTGGAGAGAAATTAATCCACCACAATAGTGGGCCAGGAGTAAGGGTTTTAAAGACTCTAACAGAAGAAATCTAGCCAACCCAACGCTCTCTTTTATAACTTCCAAAAGGTAAATAAAAGTATTCAAGCAAGCATTTCCATATACAGTGTTAACTCGGTTTTCGAGCGTAATCCGTTCCGGAAGACCCAGTTCTGAAACGTCCGGAAACCGAAAACTCAACAGCCAACAGCTAAGTCTCAGGATCTTGCACTCAGTGGAAGCCACATGGCATGTTCGACTTCTGAGGCGTGTTCGAAAACCAAAGCATTTACTTCCGGTTTTATAGCATTCGTAAACCGAAATGTTCATCAACAGCGAGGCTCGAAAACCGAGGTACCACTGTATGCATTTCCTAGTGATGTTGCTGAAACAGCCATTAGATTGCTACCAAGTTGCTTTTTCTCTAGTATTCATCAACACTGGTACTTCTTGAAATGTTCTCAGGGTTCCTTCTGATACTCACCTTACTTAGCCACTCCAGTCTGTGTCCTTGCTGGGAAACGTCAATCACACTGGAAGATCCAGGACCAATGAGTGGAGCACCTCAAGACTTTGTTGCCCTCATACACACTGAAGCAAGGGGCTGCACTGTGCACTCCCAACCCTCCTGCTCGAAAACTTCTGGAAGTGGTGGGGAACGTTCAGTCTGCCGGCTTAATTTCCCCAAATCATACCCACCTGCCCACACCTGGTGCCAAACGGGGCCAGTGGAAACCAACTCAGAGTGCTCCCGGTGATTCTGTCAGCACCAATCAGCAGCAACAAGAAGCCTACAGCCATCAGCTGTGCTACAGAATTTCCCACTGGGCATTTCCTAACGCAGCTGTAAGTGGGGCTTCCCTGCAAATATCCCTTCACATCACCAGCCTGAATCACAGCCAGCAGTGAAAAAGGATCTTCTTCTGTAGGTGTGGCTTCAATCCTGCCGGCAAAGGATTTTGTTTTGCCAAAATGATTCGGGTGGGGTGAGGGAAGTCAGAATCTGGCTGAAGACTTCTCTTAAGATCAGAGAGGCATGGAATTGCACATACATTGCCGTGCTTCCTACATGACAACAGATAGTTTCAAAGAACAATCTATGACGTGGTGAGTAAATACTACTTTAACCTACATTGTGGACACTCTTAAATGGTGACATGTGTGGAGTTTTCTATTCTCTTTTTTTTTCTGCACTCCCACCCTCTTTTTAGGGAGACAGAGCAGCCCACCCTATTTACCTTTATAAATAAACATTTTGACTTAACATTTTACTCATGGGGAACTAATTGTTTGTTCCCGTACTATAAACGCCAAGCCAGCACAATTCTCCTGAATGCAATATTCAAACCCTGCTGTCAGGTTAATTATAGTTAAACAGAAAACCATTAAGCTATTACTAGTGCAGCCACATCCAATCCAAAAGAGCCGTAAGCCAAAAGCAGCTGTAGTTTCTTTCTGGCAGCTCCCCACCCCCACCCCCAGTGTTAGAAACTGAGATATGGAAGCTAGGAGCTAAATGGACCTTAAACCTAGGTTATGGGCGCAAAAACAGAATGTCTAGGTGCACTAGACAAGAGTACAAAGCTGAAAATGAATGAACTGCAGCTAACATATTATGTTCATTTTTCACATGGTCTGGGCCTTGCCCTGCCCACCCCCCTAATATTCTTAAGATGGTCTCTTCTTCAGTCTTCAGAGAGTAGTTGGAAGAGGGGAGGCAGAAAAAGGTCTTCCTTTCCTTCCACTCTGCAGTTTTAATCTGAAATCTTAGGTGCAGTACTGCGCCCAGAGCTCAGAAACCGCTTGTGCTAATGAAATTCCCTGTCACAAAACACACCTAGAACAATGGGAATTTCAAACACTGCCCCCCATCCCTTTTCTTTTGTTCATGGCCTGCTATGCCTGGGCATAACCTATGGATCTGTTAACATCAAAACAAAAGGAATTTGAAACTGAGCATCTTGAACCCTGCTAGGAAGCCCGCAGAACCAACTGGCAGAAACTACCGTAACTTAAAATTTGCTTCCTTGTTCTTTTTTCTTCCATGCACAAGGAAGTGCAGCACAAATGGGCAAACCACAGATATTGAGATAAGTGGTGCTCATTGCAACACCACCCTCAAATCACAACCAAAAACTATGGAAGCCTCAGCAGGGGACCTTTGTGGTTTTCCTTCTTTGAACTGTGGAAACTTGCACTGCCCACTGGGCCTGAACTCCAAATACAAACAAGATCTTTCTGTTAATACCACTAGACATGGAATCTGTCCCATGCTTAAAGTAATGTAGACCAGGTATCTTCAGCCTTTTCCAACCCAAAGACCCACTTTTAACCCAGACACGCATTTGGGGACCCATGTCTCAATATCTTGCCATATCTTCTTCTTCTTCTTCTTCTTCTTCTTCTTCTTCTTCGGCGATCACTCATAGCCGAGTAAGATTGCCTTCCATAACACAGTTTTAACAGTGAGTCCGTAAGTGACTGTGGAGGCCAATTCTGGATCCACATGTCCTTCCAAAGTGGGGACATTGATTTCTGGGCAGGAGTTGATCACGGTGTGGATTTGCCAAGCGTACCTTCCTCTTAGCACATTTCTCCTTTGCGTCCTGAGTTCGAGTGTCTTCAAAGTCCATGACACCTTTGGTAAAGGCTGTTCACCAATTGGAGCACTCGCAGGCAAGCGTTTCCCAATTCTTGATGTTTGTACTACATTTTTTTTAGATTTGTCTTGAGACAGTCTTTAAACCTCTTTTGTTGACCACCAGCATTACACTTTCCACTTTTAAGTTTGGAATAGAGTAGTTGCTTTGGAAGACAATCATCAGGCGTCCGTACAACATGACCAGTCCAATGAAGCTGATGTTGAAGAATCATTGCTTCAACACTGGTGATCTTTGCTCCTTCCAGTACACTGGTATTAGTTTGCCTGTCTTCCCAAGTAATGTGTAACATTTTTCGGAGACACCGTTGATGGAATCTTTTGAGGAGTTGGAGATGGTGTTTATAAGTGGTCCATGTTCCACAAGCCATGTAGTATACACTGAGATCCACCTTAGATCAGGCTGTGATCCACAGGTGGTTCCCTACCACTAGTGGGTCCCATCCCACCAGTTGAAGACCAGTGATAGACACTGCATACCCACCCAATCAATCAATCAATCTATACCGCCATATCATGTCATATTATGACATCATCATGTACAATGTTAAGACATAAAACACCAATTTAAAAAATAAAAATACAAGTAACTGGCTAATCAGAAATAAAAAATTATTTATTTTTTTATAATAATTTTTATTAAATTTTTCCTTTTACAAATTCGCCATCTCAAACATTATTCACAAATTTCAACTTTTTGGACTTCCACCAGCTTCTCCACCAATCATCCATATTTTTCATTTTTACGCATTCTCTATATTTAGTATTGCCATTTAGTATTATCCTTTCAATTCTATTTCTTTTTTACAGTACATCTTTAACTTTCACAAAGCCTCTTTAAAACCCACTAGCGTTGTCTGTTCGTCACATATGCTTTTCAGATAATCTGTGAACCTTCCCCAGTCCTCGATGAACTTGTGATCCCGCTGATATCTGATCTTCCCAGTCAATTTGTCCAATTCTGCATAGTCCATTAGTTTCATTCTCCACTCTTCAAGGGTTGGTAACTCCTCTTGTTTCCATTTTTGGGCCATTAATATTCTTGCCGCTGTTACTGCGTATTGAAAAAGTTTGTGGTCCCTTCTATTTATCTCTCTTCCTATTATTCCTAACAAAAAGGCTTCTGGTATCTTTACAAATGCGTATTTAAACATCTTCTTCAACTCATTGTATATCATTTCCCAGAAACCCTTTACCTTCTTACATTCCCACCACATATGGAAAAACGATCCTTCTTTTTCTTTACATTTCCAACACTTATTACATGTTTTAAACATTTTTGCTAACTTAACCCGTGTAATATACCATCTATATACCATTTTCATAATATTCTCCTTTAACGCAGTACATGCAGTAAATTTCATATTTTCATTCCATACTTTTTCCCAATCAACCAATTGTATATTATAACCAAAGTCTCTGGCCCAATGTATCATAACAGACTTTACCTCCTCATCCATCGTTTGCCATTCCAACAACATTTTATACATTTTTGATATTATCTTATAATCATTATTTATTATCTCTGTTTGAAATTTCGATTCTTTTTCTGTATATCCACTCTCTTTAAAATCCTTTTTAAACATTTCATTTACCTGGAAATAATGCAACCAATCAAACACATGTTCTTTTACTTGTTCATATGGCTTCATTTCCCATTTCCCCCCTTCTTTAATTATTAAATCACCGTAAGTAATCCAATTCCCTCTCATATTAATTTTCTTTACACTCATAACCTCTAATGGAGACAACCAGTGTGGGACTTTAGGTTCTAATACATTTTTATACCTATCCCATATTTCTATTAAGGATCTCCAGAAGATATGATTCTCAAAACCCTTATGACTTTTCTTCTTCTCCAACCATAAATACGCGTGCCATCCAAATCTGTTATCAAATCCTTCTAAGTCTAACAGTTTGTTATTTTTTAATTTTATCCATGGCTTCAACCAACAGAGACAAGACGCTTCGTAATATAATTTCAAGTCTGGCAGGGCAAAGCCTCCTCTTTCCTTCACATCTGTTAATAACTTAAATTGTATTCTAGGCTTTTTACCCTGCCAAATATATCTTGAAATTACTCTTTGCCACTCTTTAAAGATCGTTGTCCCTTTGATTATAGGAATCATTTGAAATAAGAATAACATCTTTGGAAGCACGCTCATTTTAATCATTGAGATTCTACCCCAAAAAGAGTGTTTCATCCTTCCCCATACCTCCAGATCTTTTTTAATTCCATTCCACACCAGTGTATAATTGTTTTGAAATAAATCAATATTTTTTGAAGTTAACCATATTCCCAAATATTTTACCTTCTTCACCACTTCAATCCCTGTTTCTCGTTGCATTGCTTCTATTACACTCTGGTCCATATTCTTAACCATTACTTTGGTTTTTTTCTTATTTAATATAAACCCGGCCACCTTGCCAAATTGTTCAATCTCCTCTAACACCTCATTTAAACTTTTTAAGGGATCTTCTATCGTTATTACCAGGTCATTGGCAAAGGCTTTAACTTTATATTCGTTTTGACCTTTTATTAATTCATTTCGTCTGATTGAACTCAGAAGAACTTCCAGAACCATTATGAATAGCAGTGGCAAAAGAGGACATCCCTGTCTTGTACCTTTCAGTATCTTCACTTCTTCTGTAATTACATTATTCACAATCAGTTTAGCTCTTTGCTCTGTATAAATCGCCCTTATTCCATTATAAAAATCATTCCCCACCTCCATGAGTTCTAAATTTTTTAACATAAATTCCCATGATATATTATCAAATGCCTTCTCCGCATCTACAAACATTAATATAGCTTGTTTCTCATTCCTAGCTGTCAGGGAACTGACATCGGAGCTAGAGGCGGAGGGAAGGCTCTCAAATGATGCTGGAGAAGGGCCCAGTAGGGAGAGAGGCAGCTCAGCAGATGGGGAAGCAAATCAGCGCAACACCAGGAATAAAGAGGGGCAGATGGGGGAATCGGCGAGAGGGCTCCAGGACTCTTCACCGGACACCAGCGGGGAGAGCACTGGTCCTCCGCTACCCACGCCCTTCCTGCGCAGAAGGCTTCCGCGCAGGGAGAGTAGGAGGAGACTTGGCGTCAAACAACTTTTATGTTGGAAAAGGTTTAAGAAACGCCCACTGACGGATTCTGCTAGCGACTAAGGCAGCCACGAAGTGAAGGGCTGTCCAGACAGAAAGGTTTAACAAGGCAACATAGCCAGGAGAGGCGGCAACTTACGCACGAGCAACCCATACTCATTACACTAGCGGTCAGATATTCCAGAGTATTTATTATGTTTCTAACATTATCTTTCAGACACTACTTCTGGGGGCCACTGCGCCCTGTGGCACCCCTAAATACTCCGAAAAACCCGGGATTCTCCGCTCGGAAAAATCCCTGCTTGCGACGGGGTCGCTCTCAACTGGAAGTCGCCCAGAAATAAAAATTTAAAAGGTTTGCAAAGGTCTGTCAGCATAAAAAGATCTTCAAGAGATGGCTGAAAGTCAAAAGCGAGAATGCCTGCCAAATCTCTTGTGGAGTACTGTTCCACAGCATAGGGCAGGCTATACTAAATGCATGACTTTTAGTTGAGGTCCGTGGGCCTCTTTAACATAGGGGACGACTAATAGGTTACAGTTTCACTAACTAAATGTTATTTTTAAGACAGATAAGAAGAAAGGTTTTAGTCGTGAGATATCAAGATTTCAAAAAGATTTGTTAGAAAATAATGCTAAATTGTTTTTGAAAATGTACAGTTTGCTCTTAGAATAGCACACAAAAGATGAACAGGTCAAGTTGATAATGATATACTGGGCAAAATATTTGGGACATAATATCCAGATGGCAGATTGGGAAAGGTTATGGAAAACAGACGTGAAATTTACAGGATGTTATACACTGAAAGAAAACTATATGAAAATGATGTACTGGTGGTATTTGACTCCTACTAAGTTGACAAAAATGTATAGGACAAGTACAAATATCTGCTGGAAAAGTAAAGAAAAAGAAGGTACCTTTTATCATATGTGGTGGACTTGTAAGGTAATAAAAGCTTTCTGGGAGTTTATATATAATGAAATGGGGGGGGATGTTTAAAATAACCTTTGTTAAGAAACCAGAAGCATTTTTATTAGGAATTACAGGTACCAATATTCCAAAGGAGCAGAAAAGACTTTTCATGTAGGGAACAACAGCCACCCGGATGTTACTAGCCCAAAGTTGGAAAGAAGACAAAGTCCCTACCAGAGAGGAATGGCAAACCAAGCTGATGGACTATGCCGAGATGGCAAAACGTACTGGAAAACTCAGAAACCAAGAGGGCAAAAACTTCATAAAAGAAATTTATAAGTTATTTAGGAGATCCTTATGGTATCCTGGGCCCAATAACCTTAGCAAATTAACTATCATGATTTTGGAGGGGGGGTTAAAGTCCCTTGCTGCTTTATTGAGATTTTATAATACAATCAAGCAAACCAACAATGACAGATTGCACAATACAAATCAGACATCAATGATATTTTAAAAAGGAAAGCATATAGCAAGAAACATGTCCCCACGCAGTAAAGAAACAGACAAAACAACAGGGCATACTAGCATAACATGCAATAAAATCCACATTTGAAAATTAGTTGTATTGACAAAAGCATACTAGAAGCAATATGCTGAGAATTAAGACACCAGACCTCTCCCAAAAGAGAGCTGTGATTAAAATAGCTGTGTATAGTAGCATCTATGTTAGCTGAAACCAGGAAATCGCAACAAAGAACTCTCAGTAATCAATACCAGTTCCCAGGATTCCTACCTAAGAGTGCGAAATTAACTCTTAATGAGAATAGTCTAAGAGGCATACGTCTTTATGACCCCTGGTCTAAAGTGGAGGCAAAATGAAAAGTTCTACTAAGAAAAGAAGCATCATTTACTGACTTGGTGCAGTCCTTTTATCATTGTTTACAAACTGATGCAATTTTAACATAGAAAGATTTAATGGGAACAACTTGTTCACTAGATAAACGATCTCGCTCTCTCTTTAGAAATTATTGGTTTCTCTATTGCAGGCCTTTCATCTCTGTTCACCAACTTTTAAATAGAAAGATCCAGAGATTATTTTATTAGTTTTCATCACACTGTACATTAGCTACCACCATTTCATATCTGAATGTTCCTTTGTAAAGCTATGGTGCACTAATGGAGACTTTGCCTACTTGTTACCCTCCAGAAGTTTTGAATGACGACTCTCACCAGTCCCAGTCAGCATGGTCAATGGTTGAGGATGATGGGACTTGTAGTACATGAAAGTACATGAAAAGCAGCAGGTTGGGAAAAGTTGAGCTAAGGCTTAGAGTACATTTACTTTGATGAAGAAGAGCTGCGAGTCGGCCAATTGGTGCCAAAGAGGGACAGAACTTTCTTTATGTATGCCACAACAGCAGCAAGGATTCTTATTGCAAAGTATTGGAAAACACAAGATTTACCCACCTTGGAAGAATGGCAGATGAAGGTGATGGACTATATGGAATTGGCGGAAATGACTGGCAGAATCCGAGACCAGGGAGAAGAGTCAATGGAGGAAGATTGGAAAAAGTTTAAAGATTATTTACAGAAATATTGTAAAATTAATGAATGTTAGATTGATGTTGGATAGAAACTAAGTGGTCTTTAGCTGAAAGGTTACAAGGGAAGATGAAAAAAGGGTTTACTATGTAATATGTAAAAATCTAAAATTACAATATTTTTATGATTAATGATTAGGATACTAAAAGAGGGGAGGGATTTGCTGAACAAAATAATTGAACTGGAATACAAAAAAGGGAGGTGTGAGGAGGTCGGGGAAACAAGTAAATGAAAGATAAGACATGGAAAGACTAATCTGTTTTTTTAACTGTTTCTATTTTGTATTTTCATTTTTCATTTGTTTTTTCTTTTTTTTCTTTCTTTTTTCGCTTATTTTTGTAATATGTTGAAACTTTAATAAATATCTTATAAAAAAAAAAGATGAAGAAGAGCTGCGGAAGGGACATGGAAGAGACTTAAGGGCCTCGGATATAAGGTTACCAGGTTAATGCGCTAGATCGATGGGATAATAAGGACTGACAAAACCCGGGACCAGGAGGAAGGGACGCTGGGTGAAGATTGGATTGTTTTTATTTCTTTTTCTACTATCAATTTTATAAAATTGATGAATGTTAGAAAAATGTTGGAATGAAATTACTTGGCTTTAGTAAAAATGTTTAAAGAATTATGTAAGAATATTATTGTCAGGGGTTCAGGGAGAGAGGCACAGGGTAGGCAGGAGATGGAGAGCGATGGGGATGAATCCCAAGCCAGCGAGGAAGAGGATGACAATGACTCAAGAGATTCCATGAGTCTTTCCAGCGAATCAGAGGATTCCCAGAAGGGGGCGCCGGTGGTCAAGGCCAGGGAGCCCCAGGGGGACGTGTCAGGAGCAGGGGGCCAGCGGAGGATCCCAAAGTGGCAGCTGGGCGTCAGGACCAGCCTCCCCACCAGAGTGCAGCGAAGGGGGTGGAGTTTCCAGTGTATCAGGGGAAGCAGCTCCGGCAGCAGAGAAGGGAGGGAGGTCAGAGCAAGCCACCCTCCCGGAAGGGGAGGGGAGCAGTGAAGGGAGTAGTGTAACTGTCAAAAGGAAAGGGAGAGTTCCGGCAAGGCAGCATGGCGGCTGCAACAGCAGAAAAGAGCTCCTGAAGCCAGCCAGAGTAAAAGGCTCTGTCTGGCCGACTCCCGGGCTCCCAGGACTGCTGCCGCCAGCACTGCCAGCGGAGAGGAATCGGGGTGCCCGGGGCCTCTATCAAAGGAGCCAAAACACCCCCACGACCTTGATTGAGCCGGAAAGGCACCCGACCACCCCTCAACAGCCGAGAGGAGCTCCAAAACCAGGAGGACAGTGGAGCTAACGCAAGAGGGAGAAAGAAAGGGGGAGAGAGGAAGAAAAGAAGAAAAAGCAAAAGGAGCCCCAACTTTACCGCTGCTGCCCCCATCTCTGCCGACGGGAAAGAAGAGGAGAGGTAGGGAAGGCAAAAGAGGCTCCGAAAAAACACGTGGCTGAGCCGACCGGAGCTCCAGCGGCAAGGAAAACAGGAAAGCCGCATAACAAAGGAGATCGCAGAAAGGAAGAAACTACCCCCTTCTTTTTCCTTCTTTTTTTTTTGTTTGTTTGTTTTTTGTTTGTTTGTTTTGTTAATCCTTTTCTTTTTAACCCCTTCACCCCCTTTTTGCTCTCGTCTCTCTCCACCCTTCCTTATTTTTCCTATTATCCCACCCTTCCATCCCCAACATTGTTTTCTATCCCCTTTATTTTTAAAATCAACCCCCCTTTTAGCCTGTTTGTCAGTTTGTTTCTGAGGGGAGCCCTTTCTCCCCACCCCCTCTTTTAAAATAAGACTTTTCCCCCATACCATTGCCACAGCTCACCCTCCCTCCCTCACCCCTCTTTTCTTCTCCTTCCTTTCCCCACCCTTCCCCCTCCTCCTCTCCTTTTCTCTCCCTCCTCCCTCTCTCCATCCCCCCTTCCCCTAAAGGAAACACACACACACATCCATATCACCATATCATACTTTGCCCCCCTCATACTATAGCTAAAACTACTGCTGCAATCTAATACCGCTGATATTACTGTACTATCTCTCCTCTCTATTTCAACTCTCTTTTTGTCTCTCTCTCTCTCTCTTCTCTTTTACTCCAATCTCCCCTCCCCCCCACCTCCCCCCTTCTTCTTTCTTTCTTCTTCTTCCCTTTTTCTCCCTCCACCCTTTACATAGAGCCTATTTGTCTGTCTCTGTTTCTGAGCGCACTCCCAACCCCAACTCCCACCTTAGCTGGACCCCAGTACCCCTTTTGGGTATATACAACCCCCTCCTAAACACATATTTCCCCTGGCCCCACCCCTCTAATCTTTTGCATCTCTACCTGCTAACCCCCCCCTTTATATGAACTGTCTGCCCGTTAGTCTACCCATCTCTGCTTACCTGCCCCCCCCCCCCGCTTTGGCGGCACCGCTGAGGCAACTACAGAAACCCTAGAGAGTTCTCAAAACACAGGCTAGAAGTGACACAAATGACCACCTAATTCAAACGCTCTGTTTAAGCCACCAAGAAAGAACGCCTGATCAGCTCAGCAACCCAACAATACCCAGGAATCACCACTGCCACAACTCCTAACCACCACACGCCCTACTCCAAGAGGACGCCAAGCCAACCTCAAACCAAAACCATCAGGGAGACTGAGATGACACCAACCAGGGAGATGACAAACAATGCTAAGACGGTAACTCCCCTTCAAGATGATGACCACCCAATAACGAAACGAGATTTGAGGAAATGGAAGCAAGATTAGAAGCACGATTAGAAGAAACACTGAAGGCCACAATGGCTCCCATGCAGGTACTAATCAACAACCTAACCTCCAAAGTGGAAGCTCTAGAGAACAAGAACCAAATGCAAGAAAGAATAATAGAGCAATACCGGGAGGAGAACGCACGTGTGAACAAGAAACTGGACGAACTGGTAAACCAAATTGAAGCAGAACACAGAGAGATGAAAATTAAGCAAGCCGACCTTGAAGACCGCAATAGACGTTGTAACATCCGCTTCCGCAACTTTCCTGAAAAAACAGAGGAGAAAAGCCCAGCAGACCTAATTATACGCTGGCTGAAAAACACAATCCCAAGCCTGAAACTTGAGGCAGATGACTTGGAGAGGGCTCACAGAGCCCTAAAACCTATGCCAAAACCCAGCGCCCCCCCAAGAGACATCATTGTATGCTTCACACGCTACAAAAAGAAGGAAGAGGTATGGTACCACCTCAGAAACTCAACCAACCTTCGATATGGAGAAATCCCCATACTGGCCTTACAGGACTTATCTCAGGATACCCTAAACCGAAGGAAAAGCTTGCGCCCATGCACCCAGCGTCTCCAACAAGCAGGGATCAAATACCGATGGGGCTTCCCCTTCCGCCTCATTGTAACAACCAATACAACACAACACATGGCTACCAACATACCTGAGGCCCTGCAACTACTAAAGAACCTTGAACTCGACCTCCCACCGGAATGGCAACCGACAAACCCACCAAGTGACAGCCCCAACCATGAGGAAACAACAGCAAACAACTGGACGACGGTACAGAAGAAAAAGAAACAGAAGCGGCACAACAGTGCAAACCAATACAGAGAAGCATCACGCTCAGAATCGTCCCGCCGGCCATATGACACAAGAAACCAGACCAAGATTAACCAAACCAACTCATCGCAGATGGACAACCCTACAACAACAACAACCCCAGCTGAATGAAGCAACCAGGAAAAAACCACAAACTGAAGGACTGGTGATTCCCCCCTTACCCCCTCTCTCCCCCAAAACCATAGATTTCGTTAACACCATCAACATCCTCCCCCAGCCCCGCACCCCCACAGAAATCCCCGCCCCAACACCAGTCCAGACGACCTCAACCACATTCCACATCACCCACACCTTCAACATCCCCATACCCCATACTAAGAAAAAACAACTCCAACCTTAATAACACAACCCACAGTCAGGCTAAAATCTGATACCCAACCAGCACTATGGTGGCACCAGAGCGTACCAGCACCCACATCCCCACCCCAACACACCAACAATGTTGCTCATAACATTGGCAACATTGCTTACGAACCTTATACCTGACAGCGACGTTACAAAGTCACTTCACACTGTCTCACTGATACCCCCATCGCAAACAACAGGGGGGATGGCCTGTCCTTGAACACGGCCTTCCACACCAGCTGAGACCTAGGACCAACCGGCTAAATGCCAGATGGCCTAAAATACCCCAAACAAACACCTATATGACTACATATAGGAAACTCTCTACAACTTACCCCCTACTCTTTAACCCAAATCTTACTCTAATCCCATTAGCCCCCCACCCGCCACACCCTAGGTCAGCGCAACCCCACTGGTACTTTAAACAACACGAAGAGAGAGATACAAGACAACCCAACCGGGTTGGCAGGGAATACGCCCACATAATAGATAAGCAAGATGGCTAACCTAAAAGCAATTACATTAAACGTGAGGGGCTGGGAAACCCCATCAAAAGAAAACGCATCACCTCATACATAAACACCATGAAACCACACATCACCTTCCTACAAGAAATACACAACCCACCCAAAGGCAGCAAACTCCTGAGCGACCCCCGCTTCAGTCAACAGTGGGTCGCACGAGGCTCAGGAAAGCTCGTGGTGTAGCCATAATACTCAGTAGAGACCTGAACTTCACTGCCACAACAGTCCTCAAGGACAAAAAGGCAGATTCATTTTCGCTAAAGGGACACTAGATGGCAAAATCAAACTGACAATTGGCTCCATATATGCCCCAAACACGAAACAATTAGAATTCTTCCAGAAGACACTAAACAAATTCCTCTCCTTCTCTGAAGGGGAGCAATCCTAGGAGGGGACCTCAATCTAAATATGAAAGGCATAGCCCTGAAAGATATCCACCCTACAACCCCATGGGCAACCTTCCTCCGAAGGAAACCCCCAACAACTAGGAACCCTTACAAGTTACTAAAAATGCTAAAAAGCAGGGGTCTCTACGACATTTGGGGTGAGCAAAACCCGGGAGACATCAGCCATACATTCCAATCGGGACGCCATGATACAGTATCCAGACTGGACAGCATTCTACTCACACAGGGTCTGATCCCCTCAGTGGAATCAACAAACATAGGTAACATTAAAATCACAGATCACGCCCCAGTAGAAGTCATCGTTAAAATAGGAGAAGGAACACAAACCACCCCATCATGGTCCTTCAGTCCCATCCTAACTACAAACAAACAAATTAGAGAGAGTCTCACAAAAACCCTCCAAAACTACTTCAAGGAAAACGATGTAAACAATATAACAACCCCCCTCCTATGGGACGCAATGAAAGCGGTCACCAGAGGAGCTTGCATAAAGAGAAAACATTCCTTAAAAAACAAACCTCCTCAAAAATTAGCAAAATAGAACAAGACATCACAGCCCTCTCATCACGCTACAAACAAACAGGATCTAAAAAACTCCTCAAACTTATGGAACAAAAAAGGAGAGAACTAGACTCCCTAGAAATTAACAAAACAATGATCAACATTCTATACTCTAAACAACGTTTCTACGAATATGGAGGGAAAACTCCAGATTACTAGCAAATAGATGCAGGAAAAAAGCACTCAAAACAAGAATACACTGCATCACCAAAAAAGACGGCAACATAACATTCTCCCCCGAAGAAATAAACTCAGAATTTGCAGAATTCTACTCCAACCTATACACCTCCCATAACCCACCAGAGAAGGAAATCAAAAAATTTCTAGCAGGACTGTCCATGCCTACCCTAACTGATGAGGAACAGGAATTCATGGACAGCCCTATCACCCCAGAGGAAATAGATGCGGTCCTCAAAAACCTGAAACCACACAAAGCCCCAGGCCCAGACGGCTTCACAGCAGAATTCTATAGGAAATTCAAAGAACCCTTGATGCCCTACATGACCCGCCTATTCAACGACATCATAAAAGGGGCCCCATCCCCAAAACCTGGACCCACTCCAAAATAGTCTCCATCCCAAAACCACTAAAAGACAGCCTCAAAGTAGAATCATACCGCCCAATCTCATTAATAAACCAAGACTACAAGATATTCACATCAATCTTGGCCAACCGCCTAAAAACCTTCCTACACAAGTTAGTAGCCCCAGACCAGACTGGCTTTGTCCCTGGCCGCAATATAACAGACCCCATCAGGAAACTACTGAACCTGATCGAACACAGCAAGGCAACCAAACTCCCATTGACAATTATGTCCCTAGACATCCTCAAAGCCTTTGATTGCTTAGAGTGGAAATACATATTAGCAGTACTAACTAACATGAAATTTGGCCCCAACTTCCTACAAATTCTCAAACAAATATACTCCCAAGCCTCAGCAAAATGCAGAACTAACAATATGGATTCTAATACTATAGCTATCCAAAGAGGCACGAAACAAGGATGCCCACTGTCTCCCTTCTTATTTATCCTGGCTCTGGAACCCTTAGCAATCAGCATCCGAGCAGCCACAGACATCAAGGGGTGGAAATAAAAGGCAGAACCTATAAATTAGGGCTCTTTGCAGATGACCTAATGGTCACAACACCAGACCCCATAAGCACAGCAACCTCCCTAATCAGAGAACTCAACACATTTGCAATGGTGTCGGGCCTACAGGTAAATTTTACAAAGTCAGAAGCTATGTGCTTCAACACCCCTCCTCACACCCAAAAAGAACTCACGAAGGTCACCAAAATAAAACTTTGCCACACCAAGTTCAGATACCTAGGGGTACAAATAACCAGAAACCTCAATAAATTGTACCTCCACAACTACAAGCCCCTGTGGCGACAAATTAACAAAGACCTAAAGAGATGGAATAACATGAATTTCACTCTCTCAGACAAAATAGCCATGATCAAAATGATCACACTCCCAAAACTAACCTACCTATTCCAAACCCTCCCAATCTGGATCCCCTCAACCCAACTTCGCAGTTGGCAGAGAAAACTACACTCTTTCATCTTCTCACATAAAAAACCAAGAATAAGCCTCAAATACCTGCACCTCCCCACCTCAGAAGGAGGATGGGGAATCCCAACATAGAAGCATATTACAATGCCAACCAAATACGCCATATAATCCCATATATACTAGAAGATGAGACAAAACAATGGGTACACCTAGAGAGGGACACAATTGAAAATACCTGCACCACAACATACCCATTCCTCCCAAACAAACTAAAGAAAATTCCCACAACACTTAACAGGTACACACAGACCATGCTCAAAGCATGGAAAACACAAATAGGCAAACTATCCCCAACCCCATCCCCACTAATCCCCCTGGCGTACCACCCATTATTCCACCATGCAGCACAAAACCTCCAGATAAAAACCTGGCAAACCAAAGGCTTATATCGCCTAATAGACTTTTATAAAAATAACAAACCCTTGTCAACACAAGAAATACAAGACAAACTAGAAGACACCCAAATGCCCTGGTTAACACAACACCAACTACATGCCCTCTTAAACAACCCAACAGTAAAATCAGCAGCAACTAGGCCCCTGACAACCTTCGAAAACCTCCTCCTAACAACAAAAGGAAACGGTAAAGGGACGGTATCCGCAATATACAAAATACTACTCCAAAATCCCGCAAATCCCCTAGATGCAATCAAAAAACAATGGGAGAATGACATAGGCTATGAGATTAACCCCACTCAATGGACCAGAATGTGGTCTAAACCCCCCTTTAAATCCATATCAACGAAAAGAAAAGAACTCACACTGAAACTCACCTACAGGTGGTACCTAACACCAAGGAAACTAGCGCTAATACACCCAGGAACCTCACCAAAATGCTGGAGAGGGTGCACCTCCACAGGCACATACCTCCACATGTGGTGGGAGTGTCCCAAAATCCAACTATTCTGGACAACAGCCATACAAGAAATATGTAAAATAACTAAGCAAGTAATAGACATCACCCCAGAATTGGCCCTACTAAACATCTTCCAAGACAACAATGCCCATTTACACCACAAAGAACTCATAACCCACCTACTTTCAGCAGCCAGAAACACCATAACCAGACACTGGAGAGACCTGTCAGGAGTAAACATGGACCAATGGTACCAAATAGTATGGGAAACAGCCCTACTAGAAAAATTAACTAATAAACTGAAACTGACACGGGGACAAACAGAAGAAGACGTCTTCACCCTGGTATGGCTCCCCTTTATCACATACACAGCCCAACAGGACAATGACAATAATCCACCAACAGCATACAAATCAATATGGCTAACCTGATCCAAAACACCCACCCACCTCACTCACACACGAAAACAAAGATCACCACAGCCAATCACAAGCAGACAATCACACCCTAGGCCAACCCCAACCTCTCTCACCACCAAAGGAACACAAGTGAACAACACAAGCAACGCTGACACCAAACTCTACATACATTAAACATAATAGAAACACCGCCACCCGACCCCACCCCCATCCATCTTCCCTCTCTCCACCCCCCCATCATTCTTCCTTTTTTTTTTCTTCTCCCCCCTAATGCCTCAACAAATGAAATGGATTTGTAAAAATGTTACATGAAAAAACTATATATACGAGGCAGTACACTTACTTCTGTAAAACAAGAAAATCCTTAATAAAATATTTAATAAAAACTAAAAAAAACTGTCAAAAGGAAAGTTAGAGGTTTGGCGCGCGCGCCAAGTTCAAATGTAGAGGCGCGCGGAAGTACAGGGAGCCCGGAGGAGGGGCCAGGTCCCAAAGCCCGCAGGAGGGGGGGAAGAGCAGTCTGATTCCGCGTCAGAGGAATCCAGGAGGAGCGAAACCCCAGCGGGCAGAAGGACCCTGCGGAAAGGAAAGAGAGAAAGAGGTGGAGCAGCGCAAGCCTCTTAAATTGGTGCAGGGGAGGGACGGATTCAGAGGGGACTTCAGCGGTCTAAGCGTAGCAGACGTAGGGCTGCGCGCCTAGGATGTCAAGCAAACAATGAACTGCAATAAACACTTTTGTATATAAGAAGACATAGGCTTTGGTCTTTTGTGAGCTGAGACTTGAGGCAGCCCTGACAATTATGGTTATGAGAAGTTGGTAAAAATAAGATTTAAGTTTTAAGTTTCAAGGTTTTTTATAGTAAGATAAGATTAAAATAGTTTAAGGTAATGTAATGACAGAATATTATGAAATATGGAAAGGATTTGCTGCGACAATTACCAACTAGGATACAAAAAAAGGGAGGAGGAGGAGGTCAAAGAAAGAAGGTAATGACAGTTGAGGATTTGAGAATAATGGATTTGTTTTTAAATGTTTGTGGTGTATTTTTTTTTTTATTTGTATTGTTGGATGTGGTTTGTTTTTTTCTTTGTTCTTTCTTTCTTCTTCTTCTACTTTGTTTTCTTTTTAACTTAAAAAAAAAAATTCCAATAAATATCATTTAAAAAAAAATAGAGTACATTTACTTTGGATGTGGTTGGTCACCCAGACTCAAAAAAAGATATTGTGGAACTAGAAAAGGTACAGGATAACGAAGACCAATGGGTTTGGGGAAGTTTCCCTATAAAGTATGGGTAGGCAGACTAAGGCCTGGGGGCCAGATTCAGCCCAATCGCCTTCTAAATCCGGCCCACGGACAGTTCAGGAATCAGCGTGTTTTTACATGAGTAGAATGTGTCATTTTATTTAAAATGCGTCTCTGGGTTATTTGTAGGGCATAATAATTTGTTCTCCCCCCCCCACACACACACCAAAAAAAAAAATATATATTTCGGCCCCCCACAAGGTCTGAGGGACAGTGGACCAGCCCCCTGCGGAAAAGGTTTGCTGACCCCTGCTATAAAGCAAATCTTAAGAGGTTAGGTAAGAAGCTGCCTTATACAGATTCAAACCATTGGTCCATCTAGTTTAGTGTTGTCTACACTGACTTGCAGAGGCTCTCTAGGGTTTCAGATGGACTCTTCTTGCAGTCCTGCCTATAGATGCCATGACCTGAGCTTGGGATCATCCAGCAAATCTGATGAGCAGTATTATTTACAAAACACACAAGTAATTAAAGGGATTCATTAGTACAAGATAGACCGATGGCCCTTGGCTTAGCCAGCTTTTAGATGACTAGATATGCTCATGGAAGTCACGTCGGTTAAGGGTTCTTAGCCAAAACAACTGAAAATGAAGCTTTTGTGTTCGGAGACAATTCTGCTCTGATTATCAGATGCTCAGAACAAATAACTGGGGCTGGGTGTTTCTATCAGGCCCTGCTTATGAAGCTACCAGGGCCATCTGGCTTGCAGCCAGTGCTGGAAATGGAGAACACCTAAGGAATGAAACAAGCTCCTTAGGTTATGGATTCCCTTTCCATGGAGGCTTCCAAGACAAGAATCAACAGGCACCCACTGGCATGGTTTAGGCATAAAATACTGGTGCCTGAGGAGACAGAGTTGATCCCAGAGGTTGCCAGGACACCCGCTAGCTCTGTGATTCTACTGAGCAAGAATCAACATTTCAACAACATCTTCAGAATAAGCAAGAGCCTTGAAAATGTCTCATGAATGAAAAAGACACCCCAATTGCTCAGTCTGTTATAACTTGCATGCTACTTGCACAGTTTACATGATCATGGCAGATCATGAATCTGTGAGTGTGAAGTAGCACTTCAGGTGATGTGACAAGAAGTACCAGGCAGCATGTTCTGTCTCATTTACTTATAAAATCATTTGAGCACTGCATTCTTGGTTTTTAAAAGCCTTTTTCTTAATTCTGATGTTGCCACTTATAATTGAGAGACACTTTTGGACTCTGGGTACAATCCAAAACCACTAAAATCAACCGGTGTCCAGTGTTAGTTCTACTCAGAGTAAACCTATTGAAAATAATGGGCACAACTAGTTTGGTACATTAATTTCAATGGGTCTAGCCTTAATCTAGTTCGGTTGGTTATAACCCATGATAGATGATAGGGCTGTCTGAATTTTCATCACATGAACCATGCACATTTGACTCTGTGCCGTGTGATGTCTTATTTTCAGATGAAAATTTCTAGCATGCTGGGAAGCACAACAAGTGCCTCTCACCAGCTGAGTCACCAGACAGAATGAGCAAGGGCATATGCCAAGGGTACAACTGGATACAGACAGACAATCCTCACCACAGCTATACCTAATTCAGCCGTATCATCTTCTACAACCCAATTTGTATAAAAAGAGCTTAGTTGATCTAACACTCTCTAAAACAACTTGCATATGACAACCGTAGCCTTGAGCCACGATTCTGTGGCGCTGGATTGCCACCACTCATTTCAGCAGCATTAGCTGTGATGTACGAAAGATACACAAATGAGAATACAAGCAAGTACCATCTTTCAAGTGAATGGGTTTACGAAAGTCAGATCAACTTTCTCCAAAACTAAATGAAGTTAGTCATATTTTGGATACACAATGGATTCAACAATATCATCTGGTCCATATTACATGAAAGAGGCAACAGTTTGTGGATTGTAGGCCTGCCTCAAACTCCACTACAAGGAAGTTCATGAAAGGATATGTGTAGAAATTTCCCTTTTATCAAGTGCCTGTCTCAGAGGAATGAAGAACTGATTGTTGATTGCTTTTAACAGTAGCTTGAAAGGGACCCAGATAATGCAGTATAATAAAATGTGAAATTTTATCATGGCTTCCTGGAACTCTGGCTCCAGTAAAATTGTATTGTTGCTACCATCACTTTTGTTGTTGCTGCTATTGATTTGAAGGCAAAATGTAATGCCACCTATTTAGAGAATGTCAGGCTTCCAGTCCCAGTAATCATACTCATGTTGGTTCCATGCTATGATCTGCGAAAGGGTGTGACGAGACAAGCAGTTTAAAGCTGCTCTGTCTGTCAAGGGAACTTACTATTTCAGTACTTAATTTCTTCTCACTTTCCTTTTACACTTCAGTGAAAAGAAGCATTTGTGTCATGTTTCATCAGGCTTTCATTTTGTTCTCATTAACGAATTATCCTGCTTTTACAAATGGAAGAGAAACAAGCCCAAATCTTATAGGTTGGTTTCGATCGTAAGAGACCCAACGTCTCTGGCTCCAGACAATTCCTTGCTGTTCAGAAATAGGTCTATTTGCGCAGAGTGGAGGGGGGGCAGGAGAGGGCTGAAAAGCTCCATCATTGGACTTACTGGTGAGTAATTTATAGTTGCTTGCCACAGCAGATTGAAAACTTGTATTCAGTACATAGTTCATTTTAAATCTAATTTAAGCTCCTTTTCCACTTACACTGGAACCAGGAATGAGGCTATTCTCCTGTTTATCTTGCATAAGGGAGATCAGGGTTGATACTGTGTGCTTGGACTTTTCAATTAAGCCCTTTGACAAGGCCGTTTAGTCGAAGATTCAGAAGCGAAAGAGGGGGAAGGGGAAAAAAAAAAGAAGTTCTGTCGTGATACAAAAGAGGATGCCCTTTTATGGATTTGCAACTGATCCAACAATGAATGTCCAGTTACCAACTGCCAGTTGTCACACTAGAACAAAATTCCCAAGTGTCACTCTTGAAATTCTGGAAGCCAAGAGAGGGCCTTGGAAGAAGAAGAAAACAAAGACCAACCCAGGTGTCCTCTGAGAACCCCACCTGAGATCACTATGGGCTTGCTGTAAAAATATAACAGCCTCACAAACAAACCCACATATGAGATCACATTTCCGCTGCACACACCTGCCTAAGAAAACCTGTGTTAATCATTTGTGGCAGATTTTTATGAATTTATATATAGAGAGAAATCTAACATAGATCGTTCTTACTTGCCCCAGGTAGTCACGCCAGTGGCAACTTTACAAACCACCAAAGCTTTCCATTGTTTGCATTTCCTTATCCCAAGAAGAAATGACTGAAACAAGACCCGCTAATTATGTGTTCTTTTTTGCTTTCAACCATCTCAGACTGATTCCTAGTATTGTGTAAATATAAAGCAAGCACCACCATCTCTTGCCCAATTTCCAGAGAAATGAAGTGAGGTAAGAGGTTGTTATCAGACAACATAGTCTCTGATAACTTTGTTTTAAATAAAGGCACGTCTGAAGAACACAAAGTGATGGAAATTTCTTATTGACCTACTCTATTTGAAGAAGTTCTGTTTCTCTGTAAATAATTACAATCTGGTTATTGATGTCTGTGGCAATGTTTCTATTACCAAGCCACATATTAAGCTTTTGCTCATAAAAAACCCTGTATTTTGTTTTAAAATACAGCTATAATTATTTGAATTATAGCTCGTAAGTGGAGCCCTCCCTGTGGAAAGCCCTCTCATCAGATGTCAAGGAGATAAACTATACAACATTCAGAAAACATCTGCAGGCAGCCTTGTAACAGGAAGTTTTTAACATTTGATGTTTTATTATGTTTTTATATATGTTGGAGGGACGTGGGTGGTGCTGTGGGTTAAAGCACAGAGCCTAGGACTTGCCGATCAGAAGGTCGGCGGTTCGAATCCCTGCGACGGTGTGAGCTCCCGTTGCTCCGTCCCTGCTCCTGCCAACCTAGCAGTTTGAAAGCACGTCAAAGTGCAAGTAGATAAATAGGTATTGCTCCAGCGGGAAGGTAAACAGTGTTTCCGTGCGCTGCTCTGGTTCGCCAGAAACGGCTTAGTCATGCTGGCCACATGAGCTGTATGCCGGCTCCCTCGGCCAATAAAGCAAGATGAGCGCCGCAACCCCAGAGTCAGTCACGACTGGAACTAATAGTCAGGGGTCCCTTCACCTTTAATATCTATGTTGAAAGCCACCAAGAGTGGCTGAGGCAACCCAACAGCAACAACAACAACTCATATTTTCTTGAAAAAAAATCAAACAAGAACAAAGAACCTAGACGACAAAGATCACTACCTCAAGAAAAAGAGAAAACTTCCAGGAGATCTGGGACTGAAATAAACAAGGCTAAATTGATATAGGATGGGCAAAACATTTGTGTTTGTGAGCAATATTCATTAAGCGGTGCTGTGAGAATTCCCCCCTCCAAGAAGTTACTGAAGGTGGGCATAAAATGTAAGTGGCACTTTTCACTACAAATTACAGTGGGGTTGTTTTAACTACATAAACAGCTGAGTCTGGACACTTGAAATAGAATGGTAGTCAGAGAATGAACCAAATTTTTAACATTGATTGTAAAAATGTATACTGTTGAATGTACAGCTCAGTGGTAGAGCATCTCTGCATGTGGAAGGCCTCAGGTTCAATCTCTGGCATGGCATCATACAACTGTAGAGTTCAAGGGTCATCTAGTCCAACCCCTGCAATGCAGAAATCTCAGCTAAAGCATCCATGACAGACGGCCATCCAAACCCTGCTTAAAAACCCCCAATGAAGGAGAGTCCACAACCTCCCAAGAGAGTTTGTTCCACTGCTGAACTGCTCTTACTGCCAAGAAAGTTCTTCCTGATGTTTGGTTGAAATCGCCTTTCTTGTAACTTGAAGCCATTGGTTTGAGTCCTATGTTCCAGAGAAGGAGAAAACATGTTTGCTCCATCTTCCATGGGACAGCCATTTAGATATTTGAAGTCTCCTCCTTTCCAGGCTAAACCTACCCAGCTCCTTCAACTGTTCCTCATAAGGCTTGGCTTACAGACCCTTGATTATCTTGGCTTCCCTCCTCTGCACATTTCCAGCTTGTCAACATCCTCCTTAAATTGTGCCTTCTAGAACTACCCATCTCCAGGTCGAACTTGGATTGTCCCATCTGAAGCCCTGGAGAAGAGCTGCCAGTCAGTTTAGACAATATCAGACTAGCTCAGACATCCCCACCCTTTGGCCCTCCAGATGTTTTGGACTACAATTCCCACCATCCCTGACCACTGGACCTGTTAGCTAGGGATCATGGGAGTTGTAGGCCAAAACATCTGGAGGGCCGCAAGTTGGGGATGCCTGGACTAGGTCAACCAATGGGTCTGACTCTGTATAACAGGGGTCGGCAATGTGTGGCCCATGGACCAGATGCGTCCCACGAAGACCATTTTACTGGCCTACAAGCTGCCCCCAAACCAAGCTGCCTGCTCAGCAAGTCCCCCATGTGCTGCGCTAAACCGGCACAGCACGGCGCAGGAACTTGCCGAGTGGCACCGGAAAGTGCATGTGCGCATGCGCAGATACTGAAAATCGCATCTGTGCATGTCCAGATGCCGAAAATTGCTTCTGCGCAGATGTGATTTTCAGCATTTGGGCATGCGCAGAAGTAATTTCCAGCACCGCACTGTGCCAGTCCGGCCCACGGACGATCTCTATGGGAGTGATCAGGCCCATTGCTGGTAAACCTTGCCCACCCCTGCTGTATAAGGTAGCTTATTATATTCCTAAACAATGTGACCCTGTGCACACCTCAAAATTTGGTGTGGTAGGGTGGGGGGAAATCAGCAGAAGTGGTGTAGAATTTATTGTGCTTGCCTAAGATTGGGAGCACCAAGTTCAAATCCCTATTCAGCTGCAAGCCTCACAGGATGACTTTGGGCCATTGGATCACATACCTTTTGGGGCTGCTGAGAATAAAATAGAGAACACACACAATGATTCAAGCACATTAAGAGGAAAGGCAGTGTATAAACCTTATGAATAATAAGAAACAGATATAGCATCTCTACAAGAACCATATATTTAAAAGATTCCCTATTTAAAATGAATTAAAGCTGAAGATCTCGCTCCATTAACTAACCCTTAAAAGTTGTTTAAAAATATTTTTTTTTAAAAAAAAGTATCCAGTTTTCTCGGAGGGGTAATTTATGTAGAAAACATCTGCCCTGCCCAATGCATTTGCATCACTTGCAGCGGCTGATGTTGATTCAAAACTAAACAATCCTATAAAATCAATAAAGCAGCATAAAAACAGGGAAAGGTTGGGCAGATTTAAAGATCCTAAAAGGAGGATCTGCCATATAAAATCTATCCACCTGACAAAAGAAATGCTTGCTAGAACAGGAATGTTCAAACATCTTTTAAAAATAGGAAGAGAAGGGGCTAAATGGATCTCACAGAGCAAGGTGTTTCACAAACCTTTCTGTGTTCCTCGGATGAAGGGAAGTATATAAACTTAATAAAACAAATAATTAAACCAACCAACCAACCAACCAACCAACCAACCAACAAACAAACAAACTCTGGTTCAGTCATTGAGAAGACTCTCAATGCCTGGTTTTTTTTGTCCCTAACAACATTGATTCCATAATCACAAAGTTCTTTATTAGATTCCATAGGCTTAAAGAGAGACAGATGATAGAGATAGATAGAGGAGCCTGAAACAACTTAATAATACTTGGCACAGCATATTCCTAACAAGACCAGGAGTCTACAAGGTAAAAAAAAACCTTGAAGGCAGCTCTTAAGCAGTACTGAAGTCATCACCAGTACTACTATTGTTACTTAATTGAGGTATATTCTCCATCAGCGCCCATGGAACTTTAAATAATATTTCTCTGCCCCAAAGAGCATGCCAACCTAAAGTTTGACATTGAACAACGGCACAGGTTAAAAGGAAACAACGGTGACAAGGAAATGAATGTGCAGAAATTCATTTGCACATACTTAAGGGGTTTTCCTGCAACATGAGATTCTAGTGTATCCCACACAGTAGTTTTACAAATTCCTTTGCTATTTAAAAAATTTTTGGCTCTTAGACCTGAAACTAGTTGTGAGTGTTTTCTTGTGAGAGAAAACCCTGTCATTACTGAAACTCTGTCTTTTTCATTTACTGTACGGATTATAAGATCAAACACTCCAAAAGTAATCAAAGGTTTTCTTCATTTAGTTGTACTTAAAGATGTCTTCTGCCCCATGTCTTGAATGTTGTTTAAATCCTTCAAGGAAATAATTTGGTTCCTACCATTGGTACAGACCTTTCCTAAAAAATAAATTTAAAAAATCTTGGGTAAAACCCAGCCAAAATTAAGCAAACAGAATTAAACACTGTTTCCTTCTCTCTGAAATTGCTTGGACTGAAAAATGCTTAACTTTGGCAGGATCATGTCCACTATTTATTTGTGTGTCTAAGCATGTAACAGTCTTTTTTTTTTTTTTTAAAGAAAAAAAGATATACTTGTTGCCTATTGCACTGTATCCATGGGAAAGAATTACAGAAGCAGATAGGAGAATTTAATGCAAGGATGGGGAACCTGTGATGGTCCATTTGGGTTAGGACTACAAGTCCCATCATTCCTAATCACCGGGCCATGCTAGCTGGGGCTGAGGGGAGTCCAACAGCATATTTGTGTACAGAAGAGAGCTCTCACACACTCTGTTTATGGAGAACCAGCCACACAAAGAATGGTGCTGACATTGTCTCCTACATGCAAAGCCCTACATGCAAAGCTCTGCTAGAATACAGGCAGTATCACCTAGCTGTTCAGAAGAGGTGGCAAAAACATCCCAACCCCACTCCTGGTTGAACAGGTGATCAGCATACCTGCAGCTTTCAAACAGGACTCAGCAACTGCAAGAATACACAGTACTGTATAGTGGATGTCCTGTCATGTATCAGGTGACAGACACCAGACCTGAAATGAACTACAGTGGTATCTTGGTTTTCGAACAGCTTAGTTCACGAACAACTTGGAATTAGAACACTGCAAAACCAGTTGTTCCGGTTTTCGAACCTTTTTTCAGAAGCCGAACGTGCTCCGTTTTGAGTCCCAGTGTTTCCTGTTGTGCTGCTAATTTGCATCCCCCCACTGTAATTCAAGCCATCCATTTCCGATTGCAGTGTTCTGAGGTTTGGAACATTTGGAGCTTATATTTGGTGCTTTTGTTTTTGCTATTTATTTTGCGTTTTTTGTTTTGATGCTTTTTCAGTTAATTTGTTTTTGTGACTGTGTGGATCCCAGTTCAGCTACTGATTGATTGATTGTGTGACCACGGAAATGGATAAAAGCCCCCCATCCAAACAATGACTATCATCAGTGCAGGTAAGAAAAAAAATTAATTTTAATTTTTATCATCTAAAATATTGTTTTATTTATTTTATAGTACTGTTTATTGCTTTTATTTTATGGATCAATGGTCTCACAAGATAGTAAAATTCATGTTAAATTGCTGTTTTAGGGGTTGTTTTTAATAGTCTGGAACGGATTAATCCGTTTTGCATTACTTTCTATGGGAAAGTGCGCCTTGGTTTTGGAACACTTTGATTTTGGAACAGATTTCCGGAACGGATTAAGTTTGAGACTTTCCTCACCTGGGGAAAGAAAGGGAATTGTGGAAAAAGGAATGTCAAACTGAGAGAGGAAGGGAGAAGCAAACTTCAAATTTTAAAAACAGTCCACTGAAAAGTCAATTACTGAATTTAAGAAGTGAAGAAAAATTGATGTAGGGTTTATGAACACATGTTTAAAGGTTTAATTGGGTGTTCTGTGTGCTTCCTTTTGCTCATAGGGAGAAGGCAAAATAGAAACCTAAATACTTGAATCAATTTGCAAGCTCCTAATGTAACATCCCATTACAATGTTGTAATTAGTACCGCAGTTAATCAAGTAGGCAAAGCGAACATGGATCTTCATTTAAGCAAACAAATGCTAGGCTTTTCAAAGTCTGCACTTTCCCCATTCCTCTTTTCATTATACATTCCAATGCTCATTTCAAGAGGCTTCTTCGCTAACCAAAAAAATGTAGAAAGGTAAGAAAGCAAACCTAGGTAGCAAAGTAACAGCATACAGTACATAAAAACCCGTTCTCTATGAGAGTGAGGAAATGGTAATTAATAACGCGACCATAAGTAAAGCTTTGGCATGAACTTTACAGTACTCTCCTTTTACTCATTTATGGCAACCAATTTCAGGATTTATTGTCATATTTTAAAAGTACTCCACACTTTGTCCCAAACATAACGTATAATCCAGGCCACAAACAGGTTTTTCTGAGAGCAGCAGGACAACCACTAGAAGCACTAATCCTGCACATCCTCCCGGTTCCCTGCAACTTGACTGATCTTCCACTTCCTTGGGTGTCACCTGCAGTGACTCCACAGCCTAAGATGAACAACTTCATTAAAGAAAATTCAAGCACCAACGAGTTAGAGGACTTAGACACCAGACACCATCCCTCTGAGCCTTCCTTATTGTGAGACCAGAGCATTGTGGGAATACACATAACAGGTAACTCACAACTTGTGTATGGGGCACACTTCGGGGATTGCATGTAAAGACAAGATCGTGTATAGTCAAAACAACCCTGGAACTGCTTCCGTGTAAACATACTTACTTTTCTGAAACTGGTGCACCAGGTAGGCTTGAGCCGCCACACAAAATGGAGACATTTTAATCATTGATTAACTGGCTTACAAGCAGAGGCTACAACAAAAAGCTGTGTTCACACCCTTTGCCTGAACACGAAAATGCAAAATTCATAGATAGAGAGCAAGGCTGTGCAAGCCCTGACTTAAACATCCCAGTTTGCACTCTGCTGCCTACTTGCCAACCTTTCCCCCATGTTGAGTGGGGAAAGACTACAGGAGGCTTGGACCCTGCACACAGGCAACCCTGAAAAAGCAGGATCCCCATTTGCATGGAGGGTTCGTACAAGCCCACTACAACATTGTTGTTGTTGTTGTTTAGTTGTGTCTGACTCTTCGTGACCCCATGGACCAGAGCACACCAGGCACGCCTGTCTTCCACTGCCTCCCGCAGTTTGGTCAAACTTATGTTAGTAGATTCGAGAACACTATCCAACCATCTCATCCTCTGTCGTCCCCTTCTCCTTGTGCCCTCCATCTTTCCCAACATCAGGGTCTTTTCCAGGGAGTCTTCTCTTCTCATGAGGTGGCCAAAGTATTGGAGCCTCAGCTTCAGGATCTGTCCTTCCAGTGAGCACTCAGGGCTCATTTCCTTCAGAATGGATAGGTTTGATCTTCTTGCAGTCCATGGGACTCTCAAGAGTCTCCTCCAGCACCATAATTCAAAAGCATCAATTCTTCGGCGATCAGCCTTCTTTATGGTCCAGCTCTCACCATGGCTTTAACTATACAGACCTTTGTTAGCAGGGTGATGTCTCTACTTTTTAAGATGCTGTCTAGGTTTGTCATTGCTTTTCTCCCAAGAATCAGGCGTCTTTTAATTTCATGGCTGCTGTCACCAACTGCAGTGATCATGGAGCCCAAGTAAGTAAAATCTCTCACTACCTCCATTTCTTCCCCTTCTATTTGCCAGGAGGTGATGGGACCACTACAACATAGGGAAGGTCAAATAATGAGGAGGAGGACCCACAAGCACAGAGTGTGGTATTGGGGCTTACAGGCACATTCCTGCCTTCATCCCATCCTCCAGTCCACGAATTTGGCTTCAGGTGTTCAAGCAAGTGCTGCTGTTCAGGATTTCAGCAACTCCATTTCAAAGTCCCTTCCAACAGTCAGTCAGCATTCCACAGTCATGGAGCATGCTTAGTGGGCTGTGGGGGGTGGGTCCCTCCTGAGGATTTCCCCTCTAATACTTTTTGTCCTTTTTTGTATTTCTTCAAACCTTGGGAATTTTCCATGCCTGCAACAGCACTCAAAGCCTTAACTTCTGAAATAGAGATTATTATATATTTATTGGTGGCAGCAGATGGTGGTGGCAGCAGATCTCTTAACAGGAAATTATCTGTATACTCATGGGATTATGATTTCCAGGATTCACTGAGATAAGCCAAAGCAGTTAAAATAGCAGCTGATTTAAGTTTGCAGTGTAAATCTGTCGATTTTTGGCATTTTCTTTTTGGGAGTGCCTTTATGGTAGCGTAATTCATTAGGCATTATGGCAGCTCTTAAGGGACTGAAAGGCAGGCTAAATGCGTGAAAATAAATCAATAAAAGCAAGATATAGGGACTAGCAATGGCTGTGGGAACACAGTCTGTTGTCCCATGACCTACAAAGAGCCTTGTGGCACCTTAAAGACTAAAAATAAGAAGTTTTATTGTGGAACAAGCTTTTGCAGAACAGAGTTCCTTTTGTCCAGTCCTGTACCTGATGACATGGACGCACCCACAAAAGTTCATGCCACAATAAATCTGTTAGTTGATAACGTGCCACACAACTCCTTGGTGGGGGGTTGTTGTTTTTACTGACAAGACCTTCCTGCTATGAAATGGCCTCCATTGGCTTCTACAGAATCCTTCCCCTACACGGCCATCTGTCAGAGAGACATCCATTCTGGTAGCAATAATAGTAAGCGAAGACAATAAACATTTTGGTTGGCTCTGAATCTATCTAGTGCAGATCAGTTTTGATGGATGGTTTTTGCTTCTAATCAGAACCGGCCCTGCCATTGGGCAACGCAAACAAGAAGCTCAGTTCAGGTGGCAGGTTCAGAGCTACTACCGAAGGAAAGCAAATTCTATTTTTACGATCACGGGGGATGTTCTGCTAAACATGCCAAAATGTCTTGGGCCACCTCTGTTAGCAAACATGTATGGGGGGGGGGGACAGGACCTGAAAGGAATAGCAGGGGGTGGTGCTAGCCCAGAGCAAGGAAACAAGGTGTTCCCTTGTACTAACAGTGGGAGCACAGCATGCAGTTTGATGCTCTGTTCTGACTAATGGGAACTCAGCTGAGATTTAAATCCAGATACATACATTTGCTCAAATGGTCCCATCACACATTGCTAAGGTGAATTTGGCAACATTCCTTAAAAAGTAATATCCCAACCCCACAGGCAACTGAAATGCCACAAAGTAGCAAGGAAATTTCCAGGTTCTCCAGCTTTCTCAAAATTTTGACACATTCTGGGTTGGTTGTGATAAAGGAACTGCTTTACAGTGGATTTTCCCCCAACACACCACTATGGACCAACACGGATGCCTATGCTTTCTTTGGCAGCGGTATGTTGGTACAAAAGCTTAGAATATCATAAAAATGCTTTCATGCATTAAATTACATTTACAGATTTCTAATCTAGACATTAATTATATTAATACAGTGGGGGGGCATAACTGCTGAATGGATCATTTTGGCATTTAGTAATAAATACTGCAGTGTCAGAAAGACACACTTTAAAATAAAGAGTACTGCTGGGGTTGATGACAGTGGTGAAGAACGAAGCCTGCATGCAGGTTTGGCTGAAATACTATACAAAGAACAAATTCCAAAGTGATCTATTCAGCGATTTAGGTAGCACACCTGTCACTAGATAATAGGTTGTGAAGTCAGCAGAAATCAGATCCATTTGCAATGAACCACCATTTAGTGACAATAGTATCCCAAGAAAACCTGTAATGAAAAAGATATAAAACATAATGATTCGTAATGTCCTTTTGGTTAATTATTCTTGAAGGACTTCAGCCCACAGAAGTTGCTTAGAATTAATCTGCAAGAGAACTGCTTAGACCAACATCAACACGAAATCTGCCTTCATAATCGTGATGACTAAGGAGCTGGTGATTTGAAAACTGATAGCTCTGACCTAGGGCTGTACAATAGTTTATGTTACAAACCTATGTCAGGATGAAGGAGAGAGCAAGAGCTGTATCAGCTTTTCTGTATGCGCTAGTCAGGTGCAGGGCAGGGGGAAATACAGAATTAAGCTCATCAGAAGGTGCCTCTGCAGTCACAGAAACCAAATTAGCTCGCAGACCGCCAGTTTCCGCAGCGTGCAAGGAAACTTCCTCATTTGGGTTTCTTCACTAATGAAAATGAGGTAAACAGGTTGGATAGGAGCACAGAAGCCCAAACTTTTACCACAGGAAGGAGCAAAACACCAAACACTAGACATGCTATGCCTTGTGTTTACCACAGACAAAGCCATTCTACTCCTCTTCATGCAATCCACACTGCATGAGGGCAGGAGTGACCCTGCTATCATGCTGCCAGTCCCACAGCCATCCACATGCAACCATAAATTTCTGCAACAGGGAACTTGCGGAAGCTCCTCCCATAATTTGGAAGAACACCACAAAACAATGCAATGCAAGGGTGTGTGGGGAGGGGGAGCTCAGACAAGCTGCATCTGCTGAAATTCCCTCTTCAGCACAGGTGTTAAAGCTGCTGGAGCCAAGCCCTGTTTTACATCTGGCCACTCTACCTGCAGCCCATTTCTAACCCCATCTATTAACTTTCTGATCCTGGCCTGCTTGCACCAGGTCCCAGCTGCAGCTGAATAAGGCATTAAGACGGAACTATATAACAACACAATCTATTTTATACAGTGCTGGGGTTGGTCATTTTACTGATGTTTCAGTCTGTACAGTATGGCATAGTTCTTCCTTGACAGTTTGCATAAAATTGTAGAGTTGGCCAGGACCACAAGAGGCATCTAGTCCTGAAAAGTGGGAATCTTCAACGCACTGAAGTCCTACTGTCAGAACTCTGTTGGCATTATAGGACATAACTAGTGATTAAGGATGCTATAGGAAAATAAAACGGCAATAGAAGCAATCACCTTCATTTTAGCTTCTCTGAAAGGAATGTAAAACAGAGCCAATATTGATAGTGGATCCATTTTCTGTTGGTATTAGTATTTAGAATCAGATAATAACAACAGCAGCAGCAGCAAAGAAGTGCCACGTGAATTAACCGACAGGAGTGAAAATGTGATAGCCCAGCAGAAATGAAAAGCAGGATTTCTAACCCGGGGGATTTGATAGGGGTTGCGGGGAGACAATTACTGCTAAAGATTTCACTTTTCCACTTTTTTTATACTTCTGCAAATATAAAATGAAGACATCACGATGTGCGATCAAGCCTTGACAATGCTGTTTTCTTAAAATTAAGTAGAAGAATTTTCAGGATGAAGCCAACAATGGCTTCCACCAAATATAACTTTCTATTCAGACTACTATTCGAAGTTCATGTCTTAGATCTATGAACTAGGGCTGGAGTTTGGTGCAATAAAAAAAGCTACGCACCATACATTTAAAGTGTAAAGTTAGGGCTTTTTTTTCAGCCGGAACTCACTCGAACTCAGTTTTGGCATCTCTCAGGTGACCACCATTGCCATTCTAAGAGAACGAGGGAGGCATTTGTGGTGAGTTCCAGCACCATTTTCTCTAGAAAAATAGCACTGTGTAAAGCCATTGTGTCAACACACAGAAGTTTCACTTTGGTTTACTATGGATTAATCAGTCTGGAAAACCGAATACCTAAGATTCTGTACTCATAGCTGCTGGTGCAATTTAGGACCACACTCAACCAAAAAGTGCAAACTTAGAGGCGCAAAAAAAACCCTCCACTCTTATTGTGAAAGACGGTCAAAAGTGTGTTAACTATATATGTGGTATTTTTTACTTTGGTTCCAATTCCCATGTACAAGATACCTGCCCATAGCATCCTTTCTAAATAAACCAATACTATACTTGTGCATTCTGAACTCAAGTACAAAGTTATCTCATAGGAAATGACTCTGTGATACCTGGTAATCGGTCCCAAGGCAGAGAGAGCGGGGCAGTTGTCAAGCTGAGCTGAAGAGAGTGTAATGCTGAGCTTAGCCACTACATATTTTTTTTTAATGTACTATGTGCAGTGAGCTAAGGTGCCCAAAAGCAAGTGTCTGTAGCCTCATTTTCAAGGTCTGACATGTTGTTGGGATACTTACAAAATGAGCTTTAAAGTATTTTTCTTTTTCAATTTCCACTTCAATGTCATTTGCACTAGATGAAAGCACCACACACCATGGTAACAATGCAAAAATGCAGGACTACCTGGCAGGGGAGCAACTGGGGCAGTTTTGCTTAACATTTTCATAAAAGGAAAAAAACGGTATTTTACAGTGTAAGATGACATGGAAGCGCAACATATAATTGTGACATATTGGGAGCTTTTCCTGACAACAATGAAGTAAATATTTTACACAGTTGTGTGTAAAACAGGATATGTAATAGCTTGAGGTTTTTGTGGCTGCTCAAAGGAATGGTGTGAATTTAATAACAGGAAACATGAATTATTTTTGCTCCTGTGGCCTAACTTAAGCTGGCTGTAAAATGTATCCTTGGGAGGCTGGAAGGGTGGGGATCTGGTTATTTTTTCATGCCTGCTGCCCAGATGTAAAGAAGTCGAAACCAATCACAGAAATTTAGGGTGTGCCACGCACCCCACTTACACGTCTTTGTTTTCATAAGACCACCACAGCCAACCACAAATGAATAACCACACCCTAGGCCATCCCCAACCTCTCTCGCCACCAAAGGAACACAAGTGAACAGCAAAGAACCTGCACAAGCAATGCTGACACAAAACTCTACATATACAGTGGTGCCCCGCAAGACGAATGCCTCGCAAGACGAAAAACTCACTAGACGAAAGAGTTTTCCGTTTTTTGAGTCGTTCCACAAGACGAATTTCCCTATGGGCTTGCTTTGCAAGACGAAATGTCTTGCGAGTTCTTGCGAGTTTGTTTCCTTTTTCTTAAAGCCGCTAAGCCGCTAATAGCCGTGCTTCGCAAGACGCAAAAACCACAAGACGAAGAGACTCGCGGAACGGATTAATTTCGTCTTGCGAGGCACCACTGTAGTAAGTAAAGCAGAAACATCACCACCCAACCCCAACCATCTTTCCCCCTTTTCTTCCTAATGCCTCAACAAATGAAACTGATTTGTAAAAATGTTACACGAGGGGGAAAATACGAGAGAGAGACATTGCACACACTTTTGTAAATCAAGAAAATCTTTAATAAAAAAGAAAGAAAGAAAGAGAAATTTAGGGTGTGAAGGGATCGTGAGGATCACCTTGTCCAACCCCCTGCAATGCAGGAATCTTTTGCTCAACATAGGGCTCGAATCCATGCTCTACTGATCACATTAAGATAAAATTATGACTGGCCCAGACCAAACAGTCCCAGTTACATACAGTCGTACCTCAGAAGTCAAATGGAATCCGTTCCGGAAGTCTGTTTGACTTCCGAAACGTTCGGAAACCAAAGCGCAGCTTCTGATTGGCTGCAGGAAACTCCTGGAGCAACCCCGTCAGACATTCCGCTTCCAAAAGAACATTTGAAAAACCAGAACAATCTCTTCCAGTTTTTGATCGTTTGGGAACTGGAACGTTTGACTCCCAAGGCGTTCGAGAGCTGAGGTACGACTGTAGTTTGTAAAAAGAGAAGGAAGAGGGAAAGCTACAAGGGTGAATTCTGTGACAGAGCAGGTGGCCTGTCCTTGACAGTTCCAACTACTGGGTGAGTGAACCTCACGTAACATTTCCAAGCAAGGTGGCACCGGATAATAATTTTCTGTGGCAAATGCTATAGGGCACGGGTGTCAAACACAAGGTCCGCGGGCCGAATCCAGCCCGCCAGACCTCGTCATATGGCCCGTGTAGCCGCAGGCGGCTGCCAGCCTTCACCTTTTATTCTCGCTTTTTTTTTTTTTTTGGACACAAGAAAGCTGCCTCTTCAGCGCATGTGCGGCAGCCTACAAGCCAGAGAACGTCTGCCCCCTAGCGGCGCCGGCCGTTCTACCCAGGAAACCTCCACTTTACATGCATTCAGGAAACCTCCACTTGTTTTTATATTGAGCGCATGCCATCCTGTGATGTGACAGATCCAACGGCTGCCTGAACCCTTCTCTCCTGTACTGTAAGTCCTACAGATACAACCGGCCCTTTGAGGGTGACCAAACTGCTGATGCAGCCCCCGATGAATTTGAGTTTGACACCCCTGCTATAGGGGAAGACGTAGGAGTGGTGTGAGAACAGGCCTTGGGGAGGAATCCTTCCTGAGTGAATAGTGAAAAAGACCAGCAGCAGACCACAGCCAGAAGACCTGTGAGACTGAGCCCCTAGAAGCAGAAAGGGAGCTCTGCCCAAAGGAGGTAGGAATTTGGAAGAGGGAATCAGGAGATGCACAACCTAATCTCTATTCCTTTATCCCCTTGCAAGAAAGAATGATCCAAATAATCAGTGTCCTTCAAGAATGCTTCTAGCAGTCCCACCATGACCCTTTCCACCATCTTCCCCCAAAGGGGGTGTTTGCAGCTGGTCAATAGTTGTTCCTATCCAAAGGGTTTGCTGGGCTGACTAGTATACAGGGCTCAGCATGGAGCTCAATTGTGTACCCAAAGACAAGTGGGACGTTACACAGGTATATGTGCTCAAAATGTGGATCTGATAGACAAGTGGACAGCTACTGCGCCCCCATCACTTCTCTAGAGGTTTATGGGAAGAGGTTTCCACTGCCCTCTATTTCAGATTGCCAGGGCTTAATTTCAGCCGGAATTTACAGGAACTGAGTTCCGGCACCTTTTTAGCGTTATGGCACAGCATTCCAGAGGCATAAAAATAGAAGCACCCCTAAACATTTTGTGAATCTTTGTACTTTTGTCCATTTACTGTATTTATTTTTCCTGATTTAAACTACAGAATGATAGTACCCCTAAACATTTTTTAGGAGCACTGTGCTCCCCTCTAAAAAAGCTCAACAACTTTGGCTGGGTGCTCCCCTAAAGAAAGGTCCCTAAAAAGAATTTCCAGCACCGTTTTTTCCTAGAAAAAAATGCCCCAGCTATTGCTCTCACTGCTCTTATTCTATTGCTCTTGCTGCCCTCTGTATTCATATTGAAGGATCAACTTTGGGGGAAATTACATGATTTATACTGGGCAAAATCCTTGCCTTTTGAAGTTTTACTCAAGAACAGATGACAGTGCCTTTCTTTTGAATTCAAGCAGAAATCCCAGGCACAATTTCACATATACAAGTCCTATTAAAGTCAAGTAAAATTATCTGCTCCAAACTATGTCCAGAACAGCAGCCTTAAACATACTGAAAAATAATATCAGCAACATATTAAAATCCAAATGTGTCTCCCTCAAGTTTCAGCATATTTTTATAATTCACACTTTTCCCTGCCTAGCAACAGGAGATGCCAAATGCTTCTACTTGAAAACAAAATATCTGGAGCAGAACCCATGACAGAAAAATATCTGCTCATGTTGTTCTTTTATCATGGAATCTGCAAGTTAAATGAACACACTCTCCATTATATAACTTTTATCTATTCTGGAACGAATGCCACAGAGAAAACATATACAGATACTTGATGAAATATTTAAGGCGCAATCAAACCGGCAGCTCTCCTGTGCAAGCCCTACTCAAATGGATTGTGAGATGTGCAACTGTTCCCGCATCTCAGTGGATTGTGCCCACTGCTAATAAGAAAATAAAGAAACCATTAATTGCATTTCCAGACAAAACGTTGCACAGTGCAAACTCAAGAGGAGCACAAGATGTCACAACAGATGGCGAGAATATAAGGATCTTCAAGGGAAAAAACCAGCAGTATTGATTGCTAACATTATTATCTCAGCAGGCTGCTCTTTTCTACAGAGAACTGATGAACAAATGAAAACAGCATTCTGCAAATGAAAAGCAGGAGGAGTGACTGAGGGGCCAAACCTGATGCACTAGAAGTTGTTCCATCTCCAAGTCATCTCTACATGATACCGCTGAGATCCAAGTTCATTCAGTCTTGCTCCTGCTTGAATCTCCTTCAGCAACAACCTCAAGACCCCAACCTACTGGCAAACTGGGAAAACTTTTCAAGTTTTCCTCTGCAAAGTTTTCTATCCAAGATTTATATTGCCCACGTTTGGAAACTGAGTCCTCCAGTTAATTACCATTTCAGAAACAAAAACACGACCAACCTCGTTACCGTTTCCCCATCCCAAGAACAAAATCTTAATAAGCTAGAGGCAATTGGGAGAAAGTAACCTAATCAAAAACGGGGGGAAATTCAATTCCGAGGCACCAGTTGCTTGATCGTTTTGCGTTGATAGAACGCTCCAAGGAAATCCTCCATCTATTATTTGCAGTAAACATTACAAAACATTACCACACGTTATGCATGCAGGGTTTCTCTGTCGCTCAAGGGAAATGCCAGGATCCTGAAAACGGCAGGACCTTGGCGATTTCCCAGTGCAAAAGTATGGGAGCCGCGCGGAGATGGGAGAGGGCAAGTCAAAGCTCCGGAGACGAATTCGAATTCGTCTCGCAATTGGAAGTGGCGCGGCAGGAGCGATGGGAAGAGCAGACTGGCACACCGCGAAGTCCATCCATCCGTGCGCGCCTACGAAGCTGCGCGCGGAGAGAGCGCCCTCCGCCCTGCCCGCTCCCCCCAAGCGCCAATCAGATGGGTATCCGGGCAGTGCGCGCGTGCAAGGACGGATCCACCGGAGTCGCTGCCTTTACTCACTTGGGAGCGCTCCTGGCGCCGCGTCCGACGCCACCGCCGCTACTGCTGGCCGCGGCCCAAAGCAGCCGTACGCGCGCCTCTCACTCTGTCTCTCTCCCTCCCGCTGCCGCCTTTGTTACCGCCCCGAAATCGCGGCATTTAAATGCCTCCCGCCCAGCCGTGGACGCTGGGCCGCCGCGCACTTCTGCACAAAGGCTTGGCCTCGCCAGCTACGAGCTGCTGCCCGCAGGAACGAAAGCGTGACCCCCATCGCATCAATCAAACGCGAGCCCAGCGAGGGGGAGAGAGGGAGGGAGGGAGGCAGGGTTATGCAAAAACAAGAGAGCCCCGAGGGCACAGCCTCGTCCGAGGCAGACGGGAGGGGATGAATGGGAAGAAAAAAGAGAGAGAACAAACCAGGATCCGCGACGCGCCTCGTTGCGCGGCAGCTCCCTCCGCGCCCCAGTTGCGCGCAGGCTTTGTGCCGCGTCTCGGCGCCCCCTGGGAGGAGAGGGCGTGGGGACCACGACCCCCTCGCCCCTGCCGCCCAGCCTCACATCCTCCCGCCCTTGGTTCCCACGCCCTCCCTGCCCAAAGCTTTCACCCCGCTAGCCTCCGGAGCCCGTTCCCACGTGGGGATGGATGGAGTCGCTGGCTCGTCCTACCGAAGGGGGCGCAAAGGCTGCAGCGGAGAGGGAGAGGCTGAGGAAGCGCGCCCCTGTTGCGGGTGGCCGCTTGCTGGGGATGGGTGGCCGGCTCGTGGGAAGGACTTGGAGAGAAGGCGAGGGAGCATTGGCCACCCGGCTCCTTTGGCGCATCGGAGCGCGGACTGGATCCAGCAGAAGCAGCTCTTGTCTCTTCTGGCCGCGCCAAACCGTGGCGCACGCACACGCCGCCGAGGCTGTTGGCGGAAGCGGCTACTGTGGCAGCAGCCCAGCCTTTGTCTGAAATTTCCCGTCAGGAGAGGCCGTAAGATGGTCTGCAAGATGCGGCGACCCCCCAAAGGAAGCTGGGTGGGCGGAGAGGCGCAATGGATCATAGAAAACAAAGGTTTAGTTGCAGCGCCAGTTTACCCAAAGGGGGAAAAGAGAGCACCTTTGAGCACATACAAAGTGCACTCCCCTCGTGGCATAGCTACACGCACGCACTTGTTTAGAATGGGGCTTTCAAGTCCGAGGCTTTTCAGGCAGGCTTAGGCCCCAGCACCTGTCATTTTCGAATAGAAACACTGATGGGAAGGGAGAAAGGGGGGTGGGAATGTCTGCTCTGAAGGTTGAAGTTCGAAGCAAACCTAATGCAGGTGTTTCCCACAGAGTACCCATCCTCTACTACACATACAAGCCAGGACTCAGGAGCATACATAAATCCACAATTTCCTGCAATACCACACAAGCATTCTCATAGTCCATACTAGTGCAACTAGGACAGGGTCACTTGCCCTGGGGCAGTCGGACAGGGCTGCAAAATAGGGTAGGTGAAAATGGATAGATAAAAAGCCAAGTAATACAGTGGTACCTCTGGTTAAGAACTTAATTCATTCTGGAGGTCCGTTCTTAACCTGAAACTGTTCTTAACCTGAGGTACTACTTTAGCTAATGGGGCCTCCCACTGCCACTGCGCCTCCAGAGCACGATTTCTGTTCTCATCCTGAAGCAAAGTTCTTAACCCGAGGTACTATTTCTGGGTTAGCGGAGTCTGTAACCTGAAGCGTCTGTAACCCGAGGTACCACTGTATGTGCTTGCTGGGAGCAGGGGCAGACTTTGGTATTATGGTGCCCTGAGTAAGGACAAAATTTGGCGCCTGAAATATTTATTTGGCATCCTCTCCCTCCTTTCCATTCTGCACATGCTCTCAAGTGTGCTATGTCATAGTTGCAGCAACTCAAGCACCTGCCCACACCACCCTAAATCTGGTGCTGCTGGGAGGCTTAAAGAGGGCAGCAGACCAGACTGAAAGCAGACCCTTTGCTGGCTTTCTGCCTGTAGCCTAACACAAGAAAGAATAACCAGCCATTGAATGTGACTGATGGAGGTAGAGAAAATCAGAGGTTATTTCTCTCTGTACCCTGCAGAAGGTTTGGGGGAGGAGGGGTTACTGTGCAGCTTCTGAGCTTGACTCAAGAAGGGCAGGAGCACTATTTGAATAGGAAAGCTACAAAGGTACTCTTAAAAGTACATAACATAAAGCTTGCTTGACATTCCCCCCCCCCCCCCCGATTCTAACAATTGTTCTCCTCTGGTCAACCCAGGGCTAATTCTGTTCTGTCTTTAAGAAAAAAGTTTATTGATATAGACACATGTTTCCAAGAAGGTAGAATCATAGAGTTGGAAGAGACCACAAGGGCCATCGAGTCCAACCCCCTGCCAAGCAGGAAACACCATCAGAGCACTCCTGACATATGGTTGTCAAGCCTCTGCTTAAAGACCTCCAAAGAAGGATGGTCATTTTGAATTATTATGGTGCCCTGAGGAGGAAACAAAGAGTTGGAAGTTTGCCTCAGGCATATTCATTACCAGTTAGGGCACAGTGTGTTAGAACATGTAGCTGTATCCTTTTTCCCCCACCAGGCCCTTTGCTCCTCCCCACCTCCTCTGCTTGCTTCTTTCTTTCCTCATCCAGCCTAGTATTCCCCAGAAGAGGCCAATGTTGTGACTCGTGCACAATACTCCAGGGAAAGTCAGGAGGAGAAGGGGGCACTGCTTGCTTGCAAACACCAGCAGGGGAACAAAACAACACATTGTGCAAGGCCCAGTCTCTCAGAAAAGTTGCATTGGCTTGCGTGCCCTGAGTTTTGGTTTTTGTGTGCTGTTCTATACCCCAAAGCAGGGTTGTTGTTTGGGAAAAAAGAGAGATTTCTTCAAGCTGTGTCTTAACTGCCCACGCTGTTGTCATTTAGGAGTTTTCTTCTGACAACAATAAATAAACACATAATACAAGGAAGAAACTAATTAAAATAATTTTAGAGTGCAAAATTATTTTAATGGGATAACATCACCTAAGCAGCTGGATATTGCACCGGTATAGTGGAAGATGTGTCTCATTCCATGGTGTATTGGAATATAAGATTGCTCTGCCCAGCTGGAGATGTTTGACCACATAAAACTATAGAGCTGGTGTTCAGTATTTTGAAATAGGAGAGGTTTGTCCATGGTTCTCAAAGAGGCCATCCGCTCTGAAAGAAAAGATTGGTTCTTAAAAGAAGGCCTGTACTGATGAGAAGAGAACATCCTAGGCAAATGTAAACTTCTGCCAAGTAAAAGTTGTTTCCCAGCATAGAAAGCTAGCTGTCCAGTTACATTACTTTAGGGGAAAAGTAAGAAAGTATCCTAACTGAAAGTATCATAATGGACTGGCATGTGCTCAAGGTTGCCTTAAATAACAGAAAGGCAACTACACTACATGATATGGCTATAGGGTATATAAAAGCATGAGAAAGTAATTTGAGTAATTAAAATACATATATAAGTTTAATCACGTTATACAAAATACCTGCTTGAACTAAATTTCATATAGAAAATAAACACACTTTAGCTTTTCAAGTAGTCATTTGGAGTTTAGGGACACAGTATACTGAAGACCTTTGTACAGTCAATTCCCCAAACTGAAGATCTCATCAAAACTTATTAAAATAACTATTGCAGCAAATAGTTTAGAAAATGGTTATGGCGCATGGGTTTTCTCTGTACCTTATGAATATACTGCTTCAGTTGATTTGTGATGCCTACTTTGCATTCAGTTGATCCGAATAATAATGGGAGCTATAGTCATATCATGTACTGTAGTTGCCTTCCTGTTATCTAAGGCAATTTAGAGATGCTGTGCTCAAGAGTTAATTTATTCATCAGTGTGCTCTATTCAACTTTTTTCTCAAGACTGTAGTTTGCAAGAAAGAGTTTGCTCATCAAACTTTCAGTGAGCAAAAGGGAACAAAAAACTCTACTAGGAACATTTTTAGCTTTATTTCAGATTCATAGTACAATTTAAATTGTACTTGGAATATGAATTTCAAATACACACATTTTCATTACTGTCCAACTCAGGTTCTCAGCTGCTGCATTCTGTTTTCTCTTGACTTTTCCTGTTGCTGAGCAAAGTATGTATCCGAACAAAGGGGATGGAAGCAAAGTTCACAGGTAGCTGAACTAAAAGGAAACCCACCCTCTCATTAAAAAAAACTCTCAAGTCAGCCAAACAAAGCAGTCATATTGTCCTTACAGGATATTTGGGCAAGTTTTTAGACCCAGACACAAACATATGTTATCTGTGGTGAGTTTGCAGTGATTATTTCTAGCCTACGAGTCAGCATGGGAAATTCTCTTATGCTGATTCAGACAATTTGTCCATCCAGCTCAACGTAATGCGCTGGGGTTGGCAAACTTCAGGCTTGCTGAAACTACCTTGTTTTTCACTAGATCTACTGATTCGAGTCAGGAGCAAAAGACATATTTTAAGAACGAAAAAACAGGGCTCCTCTGAACATATTTTGAGTCTAGTAATTTATTTCCAGTACCAGAACTGAATTGAGCTTTCAAGCCTTTTGCACAAAAGTCAACTTCGGAATAGTTTACTTCATTTCAGTAGCCTCATCTAGGTGGAACAGGTCATTTTGCTGTGGGTATTGTTAAAAACATTGAGAGCCCTTGCCGGTTGATTGCAATTCACCCAGAGATCTAAAAGTGATCCTGATCTACATTCTGTTCACCCCGTCTACATTGACTGGCAATGGCTCTCCAGGTGTGATGGCCTGGGATTCGGACTCGGAGGCTGAACCTGAGGAATCCCAGCCTGCACAGGAGTCCCTGCCTCCAGAACCAGCTGAGCCGGGGCTGGGGCTTGAGCCTGAAGGGTCCTCACCTGTGCTGGATCCTCAGGTGCAGGCACCAGCTGAGTCTGCTCTGGCTCCTGAGGTGATGGAGGACCCATTGCCTGCAGGTGCTCCACTCTCAGCCCTGTCAAGGGAAGCTGAGGTTGCCTCTGAGTCTGGTAACCCTCCAGCCTCTCCTGAGCTGCAGAGGCTCAGGGCAGAAAGGTGGCAGGAACTAAGTTCTTGCAGGAGGAGTGCTCGCCTCCAGGCCAGGAGAGGCGAGTCACCTGTGGACCGGGGCCACCCTATGCCTCGGGGCAGATAAAAGCCAGCCAGCCCCAGTCCCAGGTTGCGAGAGCAACATTGTTGGTAGCCTGTTCCTGCCTGCATCCTGTCCTGCTCTTCCGCCAGAGTTCCTGACCTCACCCGACTCCCTGCCTTGGACCTCGCTTCAGCTTTGATGGACAGCCTCCATACCGCACCCTCGACCTCGGACTGGACTCAGACCTCACCGCACGGTTAACCCTCAGGACCAGCACACCAGGCCTTCGTGCAGGAGTCTTTTCTCTGCCTGGAAGTGCCCAGAAATTAGCCTTTAATCTTTTACATTCTTTTTTTAAAAAATTGTTTTCATTTGGTTTTACAAATGTAAATTTATAACAATACCAAATGCACAGCCGTATATAGAGATTTCTCTGAAACTTGAAACTTCTCACCATGGGTCTTATTGTTAACATTTTCAACTGCATATTATTTAATAATCTATATTTTGCATCTGTCCATATTGTCCAAAGTGTTTGTTACATTACAAGGGATATTAAAATCCTGTTAATGTTTTCTTCTGCTTATAGTGGTCTCCTAAATAAATTATAATTTTGTCCCATTCTTTCCTCTTATTTGTTTCTGAGCTTTCCGGTCAGTTTTGCCATTTTAGCATAGTCCAACAGCTTGGTTTGCCATTCCTCTCTTGTAGGGACTCTTTCTTCTTTCCATCTCTGGGCTGGTAGCATCCGTGCAGCTGTTGTCGCATACATAAAAAGTCTTTTCTGCTCCTTTGGCATATCGGTACCTATAATTCCTAATAAAAAAGGCTTCTGGTTTCTTTACAAAAGTTATTTTAAACAATTTTCCCCATTAATTATATATCATTTCCCAGAAAGCTTTTATTGACACTTTACATTCAAAGCACCTCAGAAACATAATCTGCAAGAGATGAGGAAAAGACATTCTATGAGGTAAGGTTGGAAGAAGTGGGTACATTTAGCCATAATTTACAGGAGGGTAGATTGTAGTCTAACATAAAGAGAAATGTTTCAGAGGTAACAAC